TGTGCATATTCATACATATATCAAATTGTACAATACAAAGGCTTCAAGACAAACAAGATCAGCGGAACGAAGAGGGGTTACGTCTCTTATATGGCAGAGGCTCGACTCTCTTGCGGCGCAGCTCCACATTGGCACCGTCGAATCCAATCTCCTTCATAACCTCCAGGGTCGTGTCGTCCCATTGGGTACGGAACAGGTGAGCACCGATGGCCTTGAGGTGGTAACGGGACTGGAGAGTGCGAAGGAGTGTGTTGTCGCGGCTGCTCTCCTTAGCCTTCACGGCGGCGAAGTCGAGAGGCTGGGAATCCTTCTGCTCCATGACGAAGAGAGAAAGACGATGGTAGGGACTTCCCTTCTGGGCAACAGGTGGTAGCCAGGGGAGAACCACCTGGGAATCTTCCAAAAGCTGCGCAAGATCGACCTTGGTGGCGGTGGCCGAGATGGGGACGTTGACGGCCAGGAAGTGTGTCTTATAATCGAAGTTGTCGTTCTCGACGTTAGGGACATCAGGGTCAACAACTGCAATGGTGACCAATTTTTCACCACCCTCGAACATTTGCACATCGAGTTTAGGCGCGCTTGTGCTAAGTTTCGCTTCGACAAATTCACCGGCTTGGACTTGTCGCTTGCCGAAGTACAACTTTGTTTCGACGACGGGGTCGCAGTGAGGCAGGACATCGGGAATGACGTTCATCTGGGTGATACGCTGGACCTGAACCTTGCGGCGGTATTCGCGCCATTTGCGGTCGGCCAAAAAGCGGTAGATGGGCTTGGACATGTCACCTGGATCGATAGAAAACAAACCATTAGCCTCAGCTCAATTTCATTAGTTGACCCAGAGATGATTACCTTCATTATCTTCGAACTTTCGCTTGACGAGGGGGTCGTTAATATCGGCCAGAATCTTCAGGCGCTCCAGGTGTAATTGCATCGCAGTAACGCGGGATTTCTTCGCCTTTTCTCCTCCGGCCTCCTCAACGGACAGAGCCTCCTGTCTGGCAAGGCGCTGTCTCATCGTCTCAATCTCCTTCAACTTTTCTTCACGGTCCGCAAGCAAAACCTTCCGGGCTTCTTGGAAACATTGGTAGGGCAGTTGTTCAAAAGGAAGGTTCTCGGAGTCTTGGAGCGCGGCACGGCGACGACGAGATCCAACGGGGGCGGTTCCCTGTCGGAGCAATCGTCTTTCAAGACGAGGACTCGTGACAAGAGAGGGATCGGGTGCCTTATGGAAAGGTTGGCTCGGGGATTCAGCTTCGGGCTCTCGAACGTTGGCGGTCGATTGGAAGGCTCGCGTTTGGAGCTGGACTCCAGCCACGCCTCTAGAGTAGGTATTGCGAAGGCATTGGAGCAGAGGCTTTGAAGCCCGCTCACAGTGGGCCATGATTTGAGGAATTGGGGGTTATGGTGGGCTTGGCTTTGAAGATCCGATGTTGTTGTCTTCCCGGGGAACTTTTTCTGTTCGGACCTAACCAGTCACGTGATACCTCCTAATGGCACCGTTTGCTGTCCAGAATCCCATCAATGAATTTTGCAGGTAAGCTCTGAGACGTTTTTCCAGTTGCAACTTTCCGACCTGTTGTAATTTATTATTCTGAGAATATTGTCCAAAGTTCTGCATATATCCATCTTCTACATTAGGCTACATTGTGTACATAGTTAGGGATTACCTCACATAACTCTCTCATTGGTTAGTGCCTTACAGCCTATTTTATCACCGCCTTCTTTGAAGTAAGGTCTCTTTTACACCTACATACTTCACAGGTTACTATATCTTCTTTTTTGGATGTTCTTCTTGGGGTCTTTCTAGTTGTCTTTCTAGCTGTCTTTCTAGCTGTCTCTTTATATGTCTTTTTATATGTCTTTTTCATATATATAAAGGCGGCAAAAAAACATAAACCACATAGTGAAATTAATTCAGATTCACTTTCTTTTCTTTTTCCTTCTTCATCTGCCTCGTCTTCCCTTCCTGTTCTACCAAGTCAATGAACTGCCTTGATAGGGCGCGCCGTCTCTCTGCCTCGTGTGGCTCATTCACAATTCCAATACAGGTCCCACTGATCTGGATGTAATATTCTCGAAACACACTCCATAGAATATCCCCCTCAAGGCCTGGTCGGGGATAATAAGGATCATTGCCCCAAAAGGCAGCAGCAGCTTGTTCCACTCCTTTCGAATCCATTGCCATCCTTCTACACAAGTCAAAGTCGAGAACCCACATCGAATGGTCTCCGAGGACATCAGACTCCATCTTAAGAGGAGGATCTGTACAAGGTGGAGCAAGAACAAACTCAATATCATTCCCATCAATCTCGCCAACCCAGTGCATTATGGAGAGAGTTTCTGCCATAGCTCTTGCGTACTGACTTACATCGTGTGTTGTCATGCCGAGTTCTTCGAATTGGTCGATATGAAGTGGGAAGTTCCTTAGAGAAAACGCTGTGAATCGCGACATAGTAGTATGAGGCTTTCGTGTTCGTCTCCGGCCAAGATATGGCCTTACCAAGCAGTCCTTATTCGGATCGCTAGCGATAATTTCTTGCATGATCTTTGGCGGACAGTACTTGCTAATAAGAACTCGTCTTATAGTGTCGGAGAAAGGCGGTATACGTTGAGACTGGATCATATTGCATGGTGTCGTATAGCCTGGTGGAAACTTTTGATGGTTTACAAACCACCATTTCTGGTCCGTTGCCTCGATAAAATCATAGCAGGCTGGAATCTGGATTCGGAATTGTAGGGTTGGAAGCGTTCGAAAGCTTTGGATAACTCGGTGATGCATTTCGAAGTCGTTTATTAAAGATCGATCAGGTCCACCGTCCTCCCTTTTGAACGCATAGCCTGTCTCAGACGCCGCCCATACGGTGCCACAAAATCCTTGCCCGATAGTATGTAGCGTGGAGGTATCCGCTACTTCGATATCCGCTCCTCCAGTATCTTTCAGGGGGTTGCTAGTTATTGTATCTTTCTGGTTGTGTGATTGTGATTGTGATTGTGGCTGTGGTTGCGTGGTTGTATGGTTGTGGTTGTGTGGTTGTGTCAGTGTGTGGTTGTGTCTTTGTAGTTGCATCTCTGAGGTTGTGGTTTTCAAGAATAAGAAAGTGACCGGTAAGTATGTACATATGTAGTAGTGACGTGAGGATAAGACTCTTACCTAAATTGGACAAGTGGTGTTAAGTATATATCTATATCCCTGGATACTACCCGTGGACGTATAAGTCATGTTCGAGTAAGCACGAAGTTTTTACTATTAGGGGTCATATAAGCATCCTAGTATAAAATATTAAGTCTATAACTATTAATCGATCTAATATACTACGAGTAAGTAACTGTAGGTGCATGACGGTATATATTTGGTCCTTTCAAAAGTTTTACTAGTATACCTAATATTCTGTATCATAGCTTAATTAAATGAAATGTATACTAAGTACATTTTTGATATATCTCGAGGATAAGATAATTTATATTACGCTTATAATGAATGTAGCTTTTGTATGCGGAAGCAATATCATAGCGCCAAGATTCTGCTAGCACCCACCGCCCGGGATCAACTTTTGCTCCATTCAAGACTCTGGACACCACCAACTTATACGGCGATCACCCAGTGACTTTCACAATGCCAGGTAACGATGTTATGCGGTCGCTGAGACTGCTGTCCCGCAGCTCTGGTGGACTTATGTCAGGCCAGAAGCAGGTGACGGTTAGTGCACTCCATGAATTATTTCTCGGTCCGGTTTAAGGACGCACTGGCTGACAGCGTATCGAATCATACAGCAACGATGCCTCACACGCTCAATGGCAACCGAAGCCACAACACAGCCCCCAGTGACAACTACGGATGCTGTCCAGGCCGAACAAGCACAACGACCAGGGGGCCAAACCCCTGTTCAGGTCATGACCTACCGGTGGCCCAACTTAGAACCCCAGCGCCTGGTCCACTACTCCCGGAGGCTACTTCAGATGCCTACTCGTCACGATATTCTCCACCGCGCAGTCATCTACGAGGGTGACAGCACCCGACAAGGTTCAGCCAGCACCAAGTGGAGGGACGATGTGCACGGTAGTCACAGGAAGCTGTACGCGCAGAAGGGCTCCGGTCGTGCGCGTGCGGGTGATAAAATGTCGCCAGTTCGACGAGGTGGTGGTGTCGCTTTCGGACCTCACCCTCGTGATTTCTCGACTGATCTGCCCCGAAAGATCTACGACCAAGCCTGGCGCATTGCACTTAGCCACCGGCTTTCACGCGGTGAATTAATTGTTGTTGATAACAGCATCGGTATGGACGAAGCCGCCAGTCCATTCTTCATCAGAAATCTCGTCAAAGCTCATGGCTGGTATCAGAAGGGCCGGTCTACATTCGTTACACTGAAACCGAATGAGATGTTCTCTGATGCCGTCGAAAAGTTCGGCAACCACGCACGAACTATCAGCGTCGAGGATTTGGATGTGAAGAATGTCTTGGAGACAGCAAGATTGGTTATTGAGAAGAATGCACTGCACAAGATCCTGCTTTCGCATTCGACGGACTTGGCCAAGGTGGACACTCTCTTTTCGCCTTCAGTAAACGGAGAGAAGGTGTATCCGCTGGACTTTAGCCGGATGAAGTCTACATGGAAGAACGTTTAATTGTATTATTCTTTGGTTTTTATGTTTTTTTTTTTTTGGCATTATCTAGCTGTGTACAAATAGATCATCTATACTTCGAACTTTATCACTTCTCCGAGTCGACTTGGTGGCTACAACATATGCAGCAATTACCTGACATTTTGTATTATAACATAGTCATAATATGTGTTTCTATTTGGACTATATAAAAGAATGACCCTAATTTGCGGTGATGTCGCCGAAATGTACCTCCGAGCTTGTCGGTTATGGGCGGAGAAGTTGATCCTCGGAGCGGAAAGAAAATCCAGCGAAAAACTCCCGAGGTCAAGGAAAGCGGAGAAACACCTGATTGTCACCACATAACCCCCTTCTCTGGTTCTCGTCATATTCCAGTTCTAATGTTACTTCGACAATTCAATCGCGTCTCCTCGCCGAGCTGGATCTCGCGCGTTCCTTCAGCAATGCCTCTACGCGCTAAGGTGACCAACCCTGCCTTTCGGGCAACAGCTATGGTGCGCACCCTGTTCGGAGAGAATCCCGATATCCAGATGCTTACTTGCTTACTATTGTTAGATGTCAACTACTCCTGATATTCCCAAAGAGCTCCCCGGCGATGAGCGCGATGATGTTCTGTTCAACTCGATCTATGGAATCCGCAGCGTTGAGCTCAACCGACCCAAGAAGCTCAACTCCCTCAATGGCTCAATGGCTCGCAAGATTCTCCCTCGGTTGAAGGTTAGAATAAACACCCGGAACCTCAAAAACATACAATACTAAGCGTTGGATGAATAGGAGTGGGAGAAATCTCACCTTGCAAACATGATCCTCATCTCCGGAGCGGGCACCAAGGCTCTCTGCGCAGGAGGCGACGTTGCTGTCCTGGCGCAGCAAAATGAGAGTGGAGAGGAAGGACAAAAAGCATCGACAGATTTCTTCGGGCTCGAATACCGCCTCGACCACCTGATCGCTACATATTCGAAACCTGTTATCTCATTTATGGATGGAATCACCATGGGTGGTGGTGTCGGCCTCAGCATGCACGCCCCCTTCCGAATTGCGACTGAGCGTACCCTTTTTGCTATGCCCGAAACCACCATTGGCTTCTTCCCCGACGTTGGCGGCTCGTTCTTCCTCCCGCGTCTCGATGGTGAGACCGGCACATACCTGGCTCTGACCTCGGAGCGCCTGAAGGGTGTCCAGGCTCTGTATGCAGGCATTGCCACACACTACCTGCACTCGAGTGTTCTGAGCAGTGTGGCCCAGCGTCTTTCCGAGCTGACTTTCCCCGACCACGTCGAGCTTCCCGAGCGTTTGGAAATCGTGAACAAGACTATGGCCGAGTTCTCCCTTGGCCTCCCCCGCTTGAGGAGGAGCCTATGCTCATGGCTGGTAGTCTGCGCACTGCCATTGACCGCTGCTTCGGGTTCAACACTATGGAGGAGATTATCCAGGCTTTGGAGAAGGAAACCGAGCACAAGGAGTGGGCACAGAAGACATTGGAGACCCTGTCAGGACGCTCCCCCGACTTCTCTGAAGGTGACCCTGCGCCAGATGCGCCTAGGCAAGAAGTGGACCATCTCAGAGACCTTCCAGCGCGAGCACGAGATCGCTGCCAAGTTCATGCGCCACCCTGATTTCGTCGAAGGTGTCAAGGCCCGTCTGGTGTCCAAGCCTGCCCGCCAGGCCGAGTGGCAGCCCGCCACTCTCGAAGAGGTCTCGGATAAAACCGTGAACAGCTTCTTCCAGATCCCCAACAAGGCATCCCGCCTTGCGCTTCTGAGCGATGGAGATTACAAATACTACCCTCATGCCCACTTCGCTCTTCCCTCCGAGAGAGAGATTGAGCAGGTTGTGCGCCAAGGCCACGCATCGCGGAGACCTGTGGTCGATCACTTCCTCGAAAAATATGCCCACCGCGAGGGTGTGCGCCGAAAGGTTGTCGAGGTGATTGCCCGACGGACGACGACATCAGCTCCCGAAGGACTCAAGTGGGTGAATTAAAGAGAGGGATACCGTCTATAGCTTGTAATTTTTATTGAATTTATTGGGAATTGGGCCCATATACCACATACCATTTATTGCATTTCTTGTATCTGCAACTATTGATCGTCTTTAGAAAAGATACAGTATCCAACCTGATCAATATTTTGTTATATAAAACGTACAAATAGTTAGCACACAATTCCACCTCTGAAAGGTTCCCAAGGTCCTCAGCCCACCCGCGACATTGCTGATCCGCCACCCAACTTAATCTCTCCCCCATAAACACCCGATTAGACACTTGCACACCTGCTGTAAATTACCAGAACCGATTTTAGATGAATTTCGAAAGCAGGCCCCTAGAGCCTAGCCGGCGCTCATCAGAAAGCAACAGTACCATCAATGTTTCCAGCAATTTGTTACCGACATCGGCGGATGATGCTTCGCCAACCTCAAATGATATCCCAGCACCAGAAGCCCGCTCAGTACTAACACGCCTATATATCTCGCACACTCTGTCAGCGTGGAACTCACGCATGTTCGAATTCGGCGCTGTGCTCTTCCTAGCCTCGATATTTCCAGGGACACTACTATATGCTTCGATATACGCTCTAGTGCGGGCGTTTTCAGCCGTCGCGCTATCGTCCTGGTTGGGTGCGCAAGTTGATCGTTCCGATCGGCTTGTTGCTGTGAGGTATTCTATTGGTAAGTCGATGTTGATTTGGGTATTGCACTGTGTTATGTTTCGCCGTGTTATCATTCAGGGCCAATGGCTAATCAAACGAGTAGTGTGGCAAAGAGTCCCCGTCGCAGTGTCTTGTTTGTGCTTTGTGGCAACCGTATCTACGGACTCTTGGGCGGTTACGATCGCCTTGTTCGTTGTCCAGGGCTTGCTTGCTTGTATAGAGAAATTGGCCGCTACGGCTAATACGGTGGCTGTGGAACGGGACTGGGTATGTCCATGCATCAGATACACATTTTTATTCTAGGAAGAGACATCGCTGATAACCTGATACTAGGCAATTGTGATCTCGGATAGTATCAATGTCCCACGACAAGGTGAGAAACCTAAAGCGACATGAAGCTCTACAATATCTAACTTTGACCAAACGACAGACTTGAACGCTTCAATGAGACGAATCGATCTCTTCTGCAAACTACTAGCACCAGTATTCATCTCCTTAATCGACAGCATATCATCTCAATACGCAATTTGGACAGTATTCACTCTGAACACCGCATCCGTGCTAGTCGAATATATGGCCATTTCCCAGGTCTACCAATCCGTCCCAGCCCTGACAAAGACACAATCTCCAACAACACAAGCAGATGATATAAATAGAGCCGATGATCCCCAGGACAACGCATCTCGCAAGATCCTCAACTCCGTACCAGAGACACTAGCACCCTGGAAGGAATACATAGCCAGCCCCGTATTCCTAGCATCCTTCGCCCTGAGCCTGCTCTACCTAACAGTCCTATCCTTCGGCGCAACAATGACCACATACCTGCTGGACACGGGCTTTACCTCGTTACAGGTTAGCTACATGCGCATCGGCGCCGTGGCCGCCGAGATATCTGGCACATGGACAGCGCCTATTATCATGAACCGGATCGGACCCATTCGGTCCGGGCTGTGGTTCCTCAACTGGCAATTTGTTTGTGTGGCTGGTGCTGCGGTGGCTTTTGTTGCTTGGGACTCGAGCTCGCGGTTTGTGGCGGGTACGTTGATTGCGGGCGTTGCTTTGAGTCGAATTGGGCTTTGGGGATTTGATTTGTCTGTTCAGTTCCTTGTTCAGGAGGTAAGTGGTTTCTCTGACATCAACCTATTGCATTGTGCGTTGTGTGTGCTAAATGAATGGCATTATGTAGAATATCCAGGAACACACTCGCGCCCGCTTCTCGGCGACGGAAATGGCGCTGCAGAATGTTTTCGAGATGCTTTCTTTTGCTTCAACGATTGTTTTTCCACTTCCGGCTCAGTTCGGGTATCCGGTGATGATCAGTTCTGGGGCTGTGGCGGTCGCTGCTGTTTGTTTTGCGGCGTATGTGCGCAAGGAACGAGGTCATCTACTGCATCGATCACGGTGTATGGGTGGGGATAAAGTGTTATATCGAGCGGTTGAATCCGGTTCGGTTTAGCATATTTGTTGTGGTTCTAACTTCTTGTATCATAATTCATGAGAAAATGTCTATATATGAACGAGATCGTCACAAAAGTTCAACCAGAAAAGCAAACTCACTAGTTACATGAGCGCACCACCGAGCCATTGGAAAGTTATATATACATCTCATCTCCAACATGGAGTCTAAATAACAATAAAAAAGTCTGAAAACAATTCCCGCCTCACACATTTCGAGTCCGCCCATGTACGTGACACGTCCTGCCGCCTCGTCATTTCCTCCACAAGCACGAGGACCCTATCAGCAGCTGGGTGACGAGTGACGGAAGGCGCCGGGTCAACTTCATGGACAGCAGCCACACGCTGAATCTCATGGAGGATCCACTTGCGCTGGTCTTCCGTACCCTCGAGCCCAGCAACGAACAGCGGCCACAAGAAGCTGACAGGCAGATGGTCTGGCCCGGTAGAGTCAACAGTAGCCAATTGAATGATTTGATCGACGGCACCGTTGACACGGTCTGTACGAGGGTAGATTGCAAACGCAACGCGGTGCAAGTAGATGAAGTTCGCTAAGAAGTTGGCCACGTATTGTCGGAATGTACGACAGATTTCCGATGCCACAGACGCGCTCAGGATATCTGTTAGGGCTTCTGGTCGTCCGTAGACGTCTATTACTGAGGGGCGTCGGTGCCAGAGTGTTTCAAGGTCTGCGCCGACTTTGTGGGCGAGTTGGAGGACTTCGAATTCGTCGGTTAGGGTTCCACGGCTGCGGTGGTGGAGGTCGAGGCAGATTATTCGTCGGACGACTTGTTGGGCTTGTGTGAAGAATCGGAATGCTGGGCCTACGATGGCCTCGTAGACGAGATAGTTGGGGCTAAGGAATGGGTCTTCTATGCTGTCTTCTTCTTTGGTATCTGCTGGCGTTGTTATCAGGCGTGTTTGGGAAGTTTGTGTATTCAGTGGTTTCAGTGGTATGATATGTTCTGGGATGTTGCCGAGCTCAGCGAGAGGATCGCCATCCCGACCAGCAATCAGGGACTTGACATCTAGCAGCGAGACCCATGACACCAGGAGATGACCGAGACCGGTCCAATGTCGGGTACGATCGTAGAATCGTTGTAGAATAAGGTAGCCGGAGTGTATATAGGAAGTTCCGGTACATATTTCGGGAGACGAGAGAATCTGGGATAATATGAGCCAAGTCCGCTCGATCTCAGGACCAAGCAGAACATACCTCGGATAGCATTAAGAGAAAAACAGCACCCAAAACTTTGATGAGTGTGGAATCGGTCACCTCGCCATGAATACAAGCTTGGATCTCCGAACTGGACACTCTATAAAAGGCAGGCGCCCAGCGCCATCTTTTCCCTTCCATCATCGCTTTATGGACATCTGCATAGCAGTATACAGCATTCAAAAGTGGACTAGAATCTCGCGCATGTGCCAGCAGCGCTGGCCGCATATACTTCCACTCGATGTTTATCGGCGCAAAAAAAGCAGCCGGCGGGTCAATAGTCAGAAAGTGCTGTAATAGCTGGTCCTCATACGAAGTGCCGCCTGCGTCGGACAAGCTGCGCCACGTAGTTGAACCCTCCGAGCCGCTTCCTGTGGAGGTCCTATCAATAGACGCAGACGGGGTATCTGGAGTAAGTGGGGCACGGCGGTCTGCTGAAAAGTTCCCTTCATCCACGCCCGGTGTGAGTGCCGCGGGTAGTGACTGCGACGCCGGACTAGCGGTGAAAGTCATCAGGGATCCGGTTGTCAAGTCCAGGTGTTTCTGTTCCAGCTCAGAAGTGATCCCGCCCATAAATCCAAGCATATCAAACTCGGACGGGTAGGATTCTGTGTCTGTAGGGAGCTGCCGAAGTAGGTTTGTCGGCGCCGGTATTGTGTGGTGGCCATCTGCGCGGAGAACGGTACTGAAGAAGTTGATGTCGGGGGAGCGGGATGCAGATGCGGCTACAGCGGAGGAGCCTGCACTTCCTGGGTCCGCTGTATTACTCGGCGATTCAGTTGTAATATTTGATGGACGGATTGATGATGAACCCCACCCCACGCTGGGGGTGATGGGTGGTTTGTAGACACATCGTAGACGCAGTCGATCGCAACTGGAACAGTTTGGTTTCCCTTCGTCGCATCGGACCTTGCGGGCCCTGCATGTTAGGCACCCTGTCCGTCGACGCGGGCCGGACCTGCCAGGTCCCCGGGCTTTTGGCACCTGTGGATAAGAATTTACGGGTTAGTTTGGGTCAGGAACAAGGTGAGGAAGATTCAAATTACCTCCATGATGGGATCAAGCCCGGGTTAAACCTAAATAAAGCATACTTCGTACAAGATACAAAGTACGGAGTAGTCGCAAAGAAATTCGACGTTGGTTTCCCCGCAATCACGCCGGTTCTCGGGGATATGACGACGAGCTCGGATGGTCATCAGATTGAATTTGTGAGATTATTCCAAATGAGATTGTAAATAAAATGAACTTGGATCGGGAGACTCTATAAGCTCTATATTGTGGGAGGTCCTTACAACATTGCTAATATACACAATTCTGGTGATCTACACGGAACTAACTACGCGCCACAATTAGGGACTATTGATGTACTATGGAGTATAGAAATATGATATATACACTTCCAAGGTTGCATTTTCATGCCTAAAGGATACATGATCTACATAATAAGCACATTCTCAATTCAAAATTAGGTCGAGGACATAGAGAAGTTCAAGTAGCTGCAGGCCAAACAGCACCTATTCCAACCTTTATATACTTCTAAAACGAGATATAAAAGTGCAATATCAACTCCTCAAACCCCCCTCTTCCTTCTCAGCCAATTTCCTCTGTACAAACTCCTCCATTCTATCCCTCTCCTCAACAGTCAACAACCCAATCCGATCCTCCAAACTCCCCTCCCCAAAGAACCTCCGATCAATCCTCGCCCAGTAGATAACATCAAAGGCCCAACTCCTCCTCGCCACATAACTAACCCAGAACCCGCCATTATCCCAGCTCTCCCGCATATGACCAGAAAGCCGGTTCTCCTCCCCAATAACCCCACGCTGAATATCAACATCCTCTCGCATCCGCAGCTCCTGCAAGAAAACCTCCAACCGGGCTTCATACACCCTCTCCCAGTCATCAAGTCCGTCTTCCCAGTACTCCGGCCGTTCAAGCAACAGCCAGCACGGCGGACTATACACAAACTCCAAGGGCGCAGCATAAGTAAACTCCCAATCAATAGCCCCGGATATCTCATAGCCCAAGTCCGAGTTGGCAAGTATATTGGCCGGCCGTAGATCATCACAGAACAACTTAAACACCCCTTCCTCACTAGTCCAGCAAAGTCGTCCCTCCCTCGCAAGCTTCCGAAACAAACACCGCGCAATATACTTCATCCTACAATCCTCCGCATCATCAATAGCATCATTCCGCTGGGACGAAAGATGCGTCATATGCAACTCCCCAAGAGCAAGTAAATACTCCGCCCCACTTGCAAATGTCTCGCTCATCCCCGGTAGATCCTCAACACGAACACCACCAACCTGCACAAGCTCATTCATATTGATACTCAACGGCCTGTGCTCAACAACGCACTCATCATCGAACTCGTCCTCGTCCGCAGCAGCATGAGATATACATCCAATACGCGGAAACGAGTGTTTAGCAACCTGCAACAACAATCCCGCCATCTGGTTATACACCGACCGCAGCCTATCTTCGTCAATATTGGGATCGAGAACAGGCCGCTCTTCATCCGGTATTCCCGGTGTGTTCAATGCATCAACCAGATCGGCGTTATGGTCGATATACTCCATGATAATGAACGGGCCGAGGCCAGGCGGACTTTCGGCACTGCTGCCGTGGTGGAGGATGTGTGGGATGCGGATTCCTGTGTTTCGCTCGAGAAATCGCATGACGGAGACTTCGTGGTGGAGTTTTTCGTCCGGGAATATTGAGTAGCCTGGGATTGGGAAGCGGATTACGGCTGAGGCGCCGTCGATGAACCGGAGACGGATTATCATGTTGAAGGAGCCTTTTTGGGGGATGAAGAGTTGGTCTGCTATGCCCTGTCGGTGGGTTTTGATTAATGTTGTTATTCTTTTCATGGATTCAGAGGTAAAGAGGGTTGTTTTCCAGGATGATAGTTCGTCGTCGCTTCTGTCCCAGGCTACTTCGTCGAAGTACATTAGTTTGCCGTTCATGATTGGTGACATTTTGGGATAAAGGTGCTCCTGGGATGGGGAGTATTGGGTTCAGGGGATATTATTGTCAACTGGTATCTTTGATGGTGTCTTTGATGGATGTCTCTGTATCCTGGCGAATCCCTTTACCCCGCGGTTACTCAGGAGTTATCGGCAAGTTGCATGTTCTGAAACAAAGGCGTTCGACTTGTAAGTTATTTTGTATTTGTTTTGGTCTGTTTGAATAATTCAGGGATTCAGGGATTCAATTATAACAGTTCTACCTTCCTTCAGAAAGGCTTCACAGTCCGCTGAAACCTCGGCGGTTGACGAGTAAACTTCTCCGGTTCATCTCTCGCTCCATCTTTCCAATAATCAAACTCCATCCACGCATTCTCAGGCATCTGCGCCTCAGTCGCCTCCAAAAATTCCCCAAGATCAGGACAAAGTGGGACAACACCCGTCTCAAGCACATACTGATCCCAGAGTTTAAGCAACTGCTTCAATTTCTCTGGTTCGATATCCGCTAGATCGTGAACCTCCCCGGGATCCTGTACAAGATTATACAACTGCCACTTCTCCGGACCCTTAGGCTTGGGAATGAAAACGATCTTCCAATCCGCACAACGCAAGGCAGCCCGTCCACACGTCTCCCAACCCTGAATAAATTCAACCGGGTGGATCCGCTCTGCCAAACCCACCGCCCAGGGGTGGAAGCTCCGTCCACGCATCTCGACGATCTCACGGCCCTGGTACGTCGGCGCCGGGTGCTTGATCCCCGCCATATCCAAGATCGACGGGGCGAGGTCCATAACCGTGGCGAACTGATCCGTGATCCCGCCCTTACCGACTGCAACATCTGCAGGGTTGATATTGAAGTTCGCGGGAAAGCGACAGGTGAATGGAACGCGCACGCCGCCCTCGGTGGTATATGCTTTATACAGACGCGATGGCGCGGTAGCAGCCTGCGCCCAGCGCGGACCGTACCAGATAAAGGAGTTCCCGTTCCCGAGGTTCTCTAAGCTATTGTTGTAGTATTTCTGCAGATGGGGCATGACGCCGTTCTGCACCATTGGATAGGCTTCGTAGGCGGCGCCTTCGGCTCCGTTATCCGACATGAAACACACGAATGTGTTATCCAGTTCGTCGATTGATCGAAGGTACTCGACTACTTTCCCGACGTTCGAATCAATGCACTCGACCATCCCCGCAAATACCTCCATGGCAATTGCGGACTTTTTCTTCTCCTCCGCGCTGTACTCCTCCCACTCTTTAACTTCCTCCGCTTGCACGGGATGCGGCTCGACATCCTCCCGCACCATCCCCAACTCCTTCAGACGCTGTAGTCGCTTTTCGCGGAGCACGTCGGGGCCTTCGTCGTATACGCCACGGTAGTGGTCGATGTACTCGCGCGGTGCTTGCAGCGGCCAATGCGGTGCTGTGAAGGGGAGGTATGCGAAGAACGGACGGTCTCCCTGTCCATCGGGGCCTTCGCTGCCACCACTGGCTTTCCATTCTTTCAGATAATCCACCATCTTATTTCCGTAGCCGTCGGATGAGTACCAGTCCTCTGGGAGATGGCGCACGTACTCACCATTCTCCATATGCAAGGCGATATAGCTCGCCTCGATGAAAGTCGGGGACTTGTCTTTGTCTTTTAACTCGGGCTCAAAGGCATAGTGATTTGAACAGGCAGGTAAGTGTGCGAATGAGCGTTCAAAGCCTCGTTTGTGTGGTGATCGCTCTGGTGTTAGACCTAAGTGCCACTTGCCCGACATCACTGTGTGATATCCCCCGTCGCGTAGGACCTCGGGGAGTGCGACGACCCGTTCGTTGAGGTATCCTTCGTACCCGGGCATGCCGCGCTGCGGCGCAGTGCTCATGGCCGAGCCTTTAGGTCCGTTCTGACCGGAGATGTTGGTCCATTCGATTAGATTGCCTAGACCGGCGATGTGGTGGTCTGTGCCGGTCATGATCATGGCGCGGGTGGGACTGGGCTTTGTGAGCTTGACTAGAAGTTGGTTGGCTGGGTAAAAGTGACTTACGAGCATGCTGCTGCGGCGTGGAAATCGGTAAACCGGAGTCCTTCTTTGGCGATCTGGTCAATGTTGGGCGTATGGATCTCTCCACCGAAACAGCCTACATCGGAGAAACCTAGGTCATCGGCGACTATGACGAGGAAGTTGGGGCGTTTAGCTGCCATTGTCAAGAAGGGACATTTGAAAATAGAGAAGGCAAGGGGAGTACCAGTGGTAAGTCAATATTTATATTGGATCTAGCAGACGCACGTAATGATCGCCAATCGGCTCTCGGCCATCGGCAAGAAATGCGGGGAGATTAAGTCTCCACATTTGATGTGGACGATGAACAAGGTGAATTGAGCTACTGATATTGGAATCACGCAATATACAATGCATAAGAGTATATACAATAGAAGAAGTGTAAGAAATAGAAGAGTATAGAAGTAGAAGACATCAGGTACCACCTCGGTCACGCAATCACAGTAGTGACATAATCCATCAATCCATCGATCTACCAGATACAACCCTACATCCCTTCTTTCGGACTTGCTATGACACCTTTGATTCAATTTTGTATTCATTTCTAATTAGATCATGTCAAATGTAAACCCTATATATTTTCCCCTCATCCTCGAAATGATATATAAAACTCTCCATACCTGGTGGAACTCAACCACAATCTCCTACTCACAGCTCCCCCAAACACCCACAATTGAATCTACAATGGAAACAGAAACAACTCAACCACCAAAACCCCACTGGCGCATATACTGGTTCGCTCTCGTACTCTGCTCCGGCGGTGCCTTATTCGGCTATGACTCGGGGGTAATTGGTGAGTAACACTACACCACCTCCGACCTCTCTACCTATATACCCATCCTAGCATTCCAATTTATATTTCCAATCTATTCCAATCTACTAATACCACCTAGGCGGAGTCCTAACCTTCCAAACCTTCCAAACCTCCTTCACAATCCCCGCCACCAACAAAACGCACACAAGCGCGATCGCAGTAGGAATCCAACAAGCCGGCGCCTTCACAGGGTGTTTCCTAATCTGGCCAATAACCAACCACTACGGACGACGGGTGGCAATGGGTCTCTGTTCTGCGATTTTCAGTCTGGGTGTAATCCTCGAAACCATCGACTCCCATTCCCTATCCGTCTTCTACGTCGGCCGTGTAATCTGCGGACTAGGTGTCGGCGGGTCCGCAACTGTGATCCCGATCTATATGTCCGAGATGAGTCCGAAGGAGATCAGAGGGAGGTTGGGGAGTTGTTATCAGCTCACGTATACGGTTGGAATCCTTGTTTCGTATTGGGTTGATTATGCGGTTAAGATGATGGGGGAGGAGAGCGGGGCGCGGCAGTGGCAGGTGCCTGTTGCACTGCAGCTTGTGCCGGGGGTTTTGATGGGGGTTGGGATGTTGGGGGTGAAAGAAAGTGTGAGATGGTTGCTTGCGGTGGGGAGGGTGGCGGAGGCGTGGGAGAGTCTTGTTTGGGTGAGGGGTGGCGAGGGGGTGGGGGTTAGAGGGGAGTTTGAGGATATGAAGACGGGAGTGGAGGTGGAAAGGGAGGTGACGGATGGGGTTTCGGTTTGGGAGTTGGTTGAAGGGGGAATTTGAAGAGGATGGGGATTGCTGGTGGGTTATTTCTTGCGCAGCAGTCGACGGGGTCGACGGCGTTGGCGTATTTTGGCCCGCAGTTTTTCGAGTTACTTGTTGGGGCGGGTGATAGGACGCTTTTATTGACGGGGATTTTTGGCGCGATCAAGGTCGTTGCTTGTTTGATTTTCGTGGTGTTTTTGTCCGATCGGTTTGGGAGACGGCCGTTGTTGGGTGGTGGTGCGGCGTTTATGGCGGTTTGTATGATTGCCACGGCAGTGGTTGTCAAGTCTTATCCTCAGCCTGGAGATGGGACGGTTACTTCTTCGGGAATTGCTACGGTTGCGTTGATATACCTCGATATCATCGCTTACAACTTCAGTTGGGGTCCGTTGCCGTGGCCGTGTGCGAGTGAGATCTTCCCGACTCGCATTCGTGAGCCTGGTGTTGCGTTTGGTGTTGGATCGCAATGGTTGTTTAATTTCGTTTGGAGTTTCTCGACGCCATATATTCAGGAAAGTCTGGGATGGGGCACATTCTTGCTCTTTGGATTGCTGGATGTGGTGATTGTGGGCTTTACTTACTTCTGTTTGAAGGAGACGGCTGGCAAGTCTCTCGAGGAGATTAACAGGATGTTCGATGCTGATCCGGATGCTGAGCATGGGTGGAAGGATCGGAATGATGATGTTGCGTCGCATGTACCTGCTGAAAGACATGAAGATGCGCAGATTGATGCCAAATCAGTACAGTCCAAGCATCAGACTTCGCATGTCGAGTCAACTGCTGGACGGTCCTGACTTGTTATATCGTCAGTTCTCCTTTATTTACCAAAGTATATATTGATAGAAACAAGTTCATTTCCATCTGCCATGTTATTGTAGAAGATACATCCCAGGTAACCAGGCCATTGCCCACAGCAACAATCCACCCCCTAGCCAATCGCCCTCAAGGCAGCTAGAATTGACAAAAACAATACCAAATATCAAAAGGTTCCGTTTACTCGAATCGGAATCAAAACGCCAGACACCCTCCAGTTCCACTGGATCGCAATTCAAAGGTTGGCAAAAAGAAAAAAGAAAAACCAACAACGCCAGACAGACCTGCTGCCCCACCATTACCTCCACATAAAAAGGATTCGTTATCACATAAGCACTCCTGTTCACACTCACACATTAATCAAAGCATCAAATGTATCCTCCGCCGAGAAAGAATACGACCCTTCGGAGACAAGCGAAGCCTCCGACTCGCGACGCATCTGCTGTTCAAACGCCTCCGCCGCCGCCGCAGCAGCCGGCTCAAGCTGAAGGGGATCATCAAAGCCAAAGGACATGGCCGCAGCCGCAGCCGGGGCGGGAGCAGACACAGACACGGCGGTAACCGGGGGTGGAGTGGTTTCGAGCGGGGAAACAGAGGGATTGTTGTTGTCTGAGATTCTGACCGGCGAATCCGGCAAGGCTGGTGGGGCATCGTTATCGGTGATCTTCTTTACCATTTGGGCGAGATGTAGTTTAATGGGTTCATCTCCACACTGAGCATGTTTCAAGACCTCATTCTTCAATCCAAGGATCTCCGATCGCAGCCGTGCAATCTCCGCAATAAGCTGCTCTTTCTTCTGGAACTGTTCCTTGTATTGGAATTCCAGACGCTGGGTATGCTCTTTCTTCTTCTGGCGACACTTGCTTGCTGCAAGACGATTTCGCTCGAGGAACTTGGCACGCTTGGCGCGTTCGTGTGGAGCATCGTCGAGATCTGGACTGAGGCTTGCAGCGGCGGTTTTGTATTCCCGCACACGCCGTCGTTTACTTGCGCTTTCCATCATGTCTAGGGAGAGGTCACGGCCTTGATCATCGTATGGAGGCGGGGTTGGTTGGCCATTTCGAACTTGGGCGTTTTTGAGATCCCGTTCGAGTGCGGAATTGGCAAATGCTGCCGAGTCGGATTTATCCCAGGCTGTGGCCATTGGTGAGACGGGGCTCAGACCCCAGAGTTGGTCGTCGTCTGGAATGGGAAGACCTAAGAAATCACCTGAAAAGGAAGATGTGAATGGTGATGGATCGATGTTGATATTTGCAAGGCCTGGAGGTAACCCTGATGGTAAACCTGATGGCATTGCAGATTTGAGGTTGGTAGACATGTCAAGAGAAAGAAGAAGCTTTCGAGAAGAAAGTTATGTTTTCCTTCTAAAAACATGGAGAGAGAAAGCAAGAGAACACACTAAGGAAGCTAAGACAGACTCTCTTGCCCTAATAACCCTAAATAGAAAAAAAGAAAGTCTCTCTGTCTCTGTCTTTCCTTTTCTGATTCACTGATTCACTGGATTCACTGGGTTCATTTGATTCATTGGATTCACTGGATTCAATCAAGAGGAGGGTTTGGTTGGTGCCTGAAGAAGAGCAGAGTCCAGGTTGCGGTCGACCTGGTTGGAGCCACGGTCGGACAAGACTTCCTGCGGTCCAGAAGATCCGGGCGAATGGGCACAGAATTGAGATGTTGAGGAAGATGTTGAGGGTGAGTTTTTTTTTGGTGTCACCAGGAAATAGAAATCAAAGTGAAAAGAAAAGGAATGTATTTGTATTTTGTTGAAACCTCCCAACTCTCCCCCTTCAAACACCTATCCATATCCAGACTCTCAAAATTATAAAGACCATAAAAGAATAAAAGAAACGGTAAGAGATAGAAAACAAAACAAAAAATAATGGTATCCAACAGGATTCAAAGCCGAAGGGGAATACCCAAAAAAAAAAAAAACAACAACAACAACAACAACAACAACAAAAAACAGGGTTGGGGCTGGTGGAGAGAGAGAAAGAGAAAGAAAGAAGTATACAGGTTCTTTTCTAGAATCCAATCAGAGAACACCCCCTCCAACCTGGTTTCTCAATATGAAACAAGAGAAAACAAGAGAAAACAAGAGAAACATGACTGTGTCCAATTATTCCCTGCCCACCACGTACCGTCCACTTGTCCAGTTTCGTAACTGTCGGTGCACGAAATGCCAATTATTGAGCAACAGACTCGCCACCCGTTGATCATCAATCTCCTTTTGAACTTCTGTCGAGACCCCTTCTGAGTACTCTTGCCCCCTGGGCCCGAGGAGCAGCGGCCCAAACACCCGCACCAACTCGTGGAATTTCGGATTCGCCACTGGATCACGGAGCTCTATCCCGGGTTGCTCTTCGACGTTGGTCTCCGCATTCATCAACAAGGAAAGTAGCCCAAATACCGCACAGATAAGGTCGCGCTGCATCTCAGGAGCAAGGGCAATGAGCGCAAGACATATCAGCTGAACTCGGGCAGCAGTCGCGGGGCTCGCTTCAGAAATACATTTTGGCACACGAAGCTGATGAGATTGATTGAGGATGGGGTGATAGTACATCGCCCTCAAAACCTGGTAGAGCCGGACACTCCCGAGGATCCCGCTTGGAAGCCCCGCCAGCACGGCCTTGAAGGCCCAGGCCACCCCCAACACGGGCGCCAAGTTTTCACGGAGCTGCGGCATGGCAACCACACGCATGGTAAGGGAAATCTTCGACTCATCTTTCTCAACCTCAAGCACCTGGCTAGCAAAGTGGTCATACAACCGGATGGCGGCTTTCAGATCGCCGGACTGGATGAAGATCTCGGGATTGTCAATACCTGCAGGAACCCAGGGTCAGTCCCAAGTCATGACGTAGAAGAAACAGCCACCAACCATATTTGTGCAGAAACAGCAATGTTGACACAATGTATGCGGGCAGCTGCGCGGGACAAGGGGCCAAGTCCGTCAGCATAAGATAGCCATATCCTCCAAGACGAGCTAATGTCTCGATCGATCTTCCTTGCAACGAAGTCATTGGAGTCGGACGGCGCAGATTGGCGAATGTTTTCATCCGTCGCAGCTTAGGAGGTGGCGCCAAAGGGGTGGTGTCGGCATCCAAACTGGATCGCACCTTGCGAACTTTACCCAACAATCCGAATCCACGACGACTCGTGCCCTCTTCCTCGGTAGGATTGCCCTCCGCTGCTAGAATCTAGTCAGTGACAATCCAAGCACAAGAAAAGATAAACCTACGTGGACTTGGAGTCTCATCACCTGGAATGGAAATCGGAATGCCAAACTGAGATGCCATGCGGTTGAAGGCCGAGATCGCCTTGGGCGAGTCAAGTGTGCTGGTCCAACTTGTTTCGCTGTTGGCCGGACTTAGCCTCTGAGAATCCCGACCTTCGGGCTCGGCTGGTTCGATGACAGGTTCGATTGTGTCAAAGTCAGTCTCAACGATAGGCTCCAGTGTCCCTTCGGAAGCCCTGGATGATTCCTCCCGGCTATGCCTCGAAGGCCCTGGCTTTTCTTGTCTGGCATCGACGGCCTTCCCATCTGAGAACGGGTCCGAAACCTCCCGTATATGAGTCTTGGGGTTGTTGCTACTCTCAGAGGGATACAGCATGAGTCCCGGCCATCCCCACTCCTCCAAAGGTTCCTCAATAGGCGTCGCGATATGTTGAGCAGGGTCTCGGCAAACAATATCCTCAGTCTGGCTGGACTCCTGAGAATGAGTCGTCTGAGCGCTGACCTTCCGCCCCGATTTTGGGTCATCGAATCTGACAGACTTGCTAGCGGCCGTAGACGGCTCCACGGCAGTGGTATCGAGCTCAACGGGATTGGAGGACAAAGGTATAGAGCTCGGTCTCTCTGTGCCGGAACTCTCCTGCGCAGTTTGAGGCTGTGTGTCTGTGATAGGATCATCTTCGTGGGATAAGCTGGCACGGAAGCGAGAAACCATTTTCTTCAGACGCCTGGTGCCATTCTTGGACCGGGAAGGAAGTTCGCTAGTGTTTTGGGCTTGTTGGGAATTCGACCCAGTTTCGGCATTGTCAGTATTGTCGACGGGGGCTACTGCGGCCGAGCCAGATGGCTTGTTTGCGCTGGTTCCAGCTTCGGTTGTTGGCTCATCGTCTAGTTCATTCGAAGCGGCTTCTGGCTGAGGCTTCAATGGATCTCCTTCAAACGGCCGACGCCGTCGTGGCCAGACAGCACGAGATGCAGCAGGGTCAGATGTCTCAGATTTGGACCGGAATGCATTTTTAAGCCGCCGCATGATTACGTTTGGATAATGTATAATGTATACGAGAGGAAGAGATGGGGATGAAGTAAGGACTAGGATGGGGGCCTGGGGATGTCCACGGGTGACTTGGGCCAAAGTCTTGTCCTTGAGGAAGGAGCTGAGAGACAGGAAGGTACATCTTAACAACCAACCATATAAGAGAATATCAGATAATATAAGAGAATACTTCAAACATTCAAGTTCTTCCAAGTCTATTCTGAGCAAAAAAACAAACAGTTTTGGAATCCATATCATTACCTCTGTACATTCGTAAAGCCCAAAATCAAAATAATAGCCCAGAACAAGCATGACCTCGCCGGGCCCATGTGCTCCCAGGCAATTCATATGTTATCTTCAACTTTCGAGGGTTCCCTCGAAGAGCCAGAACAAGGCAGATCAAAAACGCCGGAACCATGCAAAACGTAATATGTATGGGAAAAGTCACTTTCAAACTCCAAGCCGATCAGGCTTCCTCATTCTCTCCCTCGAGAAGAATGTAGTGCAGGATATCACTCAGAGTCAGAACGCCCTTGAGCTTGAAGTGCTCATCCACGACAACGAGACGGTGCACCCGTGATTTGCGGATAGTATCAAAGATAGTGTCCAGGCCATCATTCAATGAACATGTGTAGATACCCGGGAAACCCTGCGCAGAAGGTGCAAATGTAAGTATCAAACTGGTATCATTAGGAACGGGGGTTCGCATACCGGAGAACGTTTCTTCAATGCTTCCCCAACCGTGAGGCTCAAATCATCGTAGAAACCACCCTTGATCAAAGTAATGACATCGACCGACTCGAATACGTTATACACCACGCCTTCAGAATTCACAATCGGCACACTAGATATGCTACGCTCGACCAGAATATGGATGACATCAATGACCGGGGTATCCATCGAAGCCGTAGCAACGTTATCGTATGATCCAAGCAAGAGCTCCCCCAGCGGACGCCGCAGCTGCTGTGTATCGGGGACATTGACGGCGACGAATTTCAAGATACGGTATTGGGTAATGACGCTGAGAACGTGGGGCCGCTCGGTCTGGCTATCGCTGGTGACGAGGGGGGATACGGCGGGCACGCGATTCTAGCATGCGCCGACAGGCATCATAGAGGGGGCGCTCTGGGTCGATAGAGACGGTCTCCGGCGGCGCCACACCTAGCGCCTTTTCAACTTCTGTATATTCCCGTTAGCCGGGTGCACCTGCAGGAAATGCGGCGACACGGGGGAAAGGGCCCAACGCACCTCGCAAACTGTCCAGGCGGAATTGATCGATCTGGTCCAGTGCGGCGGGGTTCTGGAAATAGTATTGGATGACATTAATGTAGTCGGAGGTGGTCAGAAGACCTGCGAATTTGGAGGCTTTGGAGTCCCACAACGGAGCTGAAACGATGCCTGTACCTCCCGATTCCCCGGTTCGCAGTCAGCTGGAGTTCGGTAATTTTATAGAAAAGAATGAAGGAATCGCGAAAAATGTACCGTTTTGAATCAGAATGTTCAGACTCTCCTTGACGGAAAGCGACGTATCGAAGATGATGAGTCGGAAACTGAGCGGTAGGACATCATAGGAGTTTCGGGCCTTGAGGAAATCACGAATGGCACGCTGTTTGCGTTAGTCAAGATCTGGATATGGCCCCAGGTGATCTGGTGACTGATGAACCCATGCCCCGAAACACGTTCACAATGTCCGATCCCCCACATCGTCCAACGTCAGGTATAAAGAGGGGTTTCCCCCTTTCCCCGCCCTCTTTTGGGAAAAAGTAATTGAAAAAAAGGGAGGGACTTACAAGACCCTGTCGCTCTTCCCGATCGATGGCTCGTTCGGAGGCCATTGGGGGCGTAGGTACGAGGATAGGCTGCACGAAAGGCGCGTGACCAGAGATGAAGGTCCCGAATTGAGGGTCTTCCGCCTTTCGATATGTGGGGGGAAAGGGATCCTACGCAACCAGATTGAAATGTATTGGAAAAGAAGGGATACCAATAGGAGATTTAATTTAATTTCTTATTCTTTTCATATCAGATTCTAATATTTGATATTTATTTAATTATTTAATTAATTAATTACTTCAACTGGGCTGCAAGTACGCGGATCATACGGGAACATTCAAATGATCCTTGTTCAACAATATATAACTACATAACTATTCATCTTTCCCTCACCTTTCCATGTCCTCGTACTTTTTGGGAGGGGAAAACATGAAACTACCAAGGAGAAACAAGAGAAGCACGGGAACGTGCTGTTGGCAAAGCAAAGCGGCTGGAGAGAGAGGGAGAAGCAGACCCGAATGAAATGATGGCTATCATATGATAAGACTAGAAGATAAATATCTCGAGGCAAAAAGAAGGAAGAAAATAACCCAAAAAGAAACCCAAGTAACGCCGCCGAAGCCATGCAAGGTATCATCGCAAAGCACATTTTATCCAAATTCTAGAACCAGCCAGAACCTGATTCCTTGGGAGGTAAATACATGAGAGGTGTAGGAGACGAATCGAAGCTGGAACGAAGCTCATTGACTGGATATCTGTACCCGGGCCTAGAGGTGTCCGTGTAACTTGAATCGGTAGATGCAAGTATGGTTGGCACCCCAATTCGAAGTCACTCGGAAGACAACCTTGTCCACACGTATTGTTGACACGTCGACGATGGTGTTGAGCTTGAATGCCTGCGCGTAGTCCGGGCTATGGAGGTCGTATTCGACCTTCCCGATGCGGTAGAAGTTGGGGCCGAGAATTGGGTCGTCCGAGTAAGCGCTTGGAGGTTCGAAGGGGTTGCTTCGACGCAATAGATCCATCACCAACCCGTGGAGTGAACCGATTCCAGGGATTAGGAATCCTCCAAGTCCTGTTTCGCGGGACGAAGGGGCCTGAGTTGAGGGTGGTGCTGGTGACACGGTAGCATCTCCAAAGAGATTCAGGAAGCCTCGGGCAGGTCGAGCTGCGGGTGTTGGCTTGGCTTTGACTGGTGTTTTGTGGGGGTTCACTTTGAAGCGAGCCCACAGCTCGATTGCTCGGGGTGCCGCTTCTGGTTCGAGAGATGCGCCCACGGGAATGTGTTCAACAACCAACTCTTCTGCCACGATGTCGCGGCCGAGAAGGACAGATAGTTGGGTTATTCCACTGCGAGGGGCACTGCACCAGCAGTCGCCTACCTCTTCCCACGTGCTAAGGGCAGACAGCGGGGATTGCGGTGTTCGGAGGGCGCGTCTTGTTGCAAACGAAGTCGCCCAGAGGAGTGCTCGGAGGGGAGCGCTCTGCTTGGGACCCAAAGTCGGTGATGTTTTTGCTGGGTCAATGATTGCCCCCAATGCCACCGAAAGGAAATTCACCTTATATACCGGGTTCCGATGGAGGCTTGCATCTGTGGGCGTCGAATCATGAATGGACTTTTCTGATCGAACAGAGCTGATCTCCTTCGATAGGGATGACATCTGAACGTCCATTTTTGATACCTGGCTCCGAAGGCTATGGAAAACTTCCGGTTTAGACATGTTTACGTTCGAAGACATGTCCCAATCCAGAACACCGTGATCTAGATAAACCCGAAGCTTTGCGGCAACCAGAGGCATAAAAATAAAGCTCAGGAACAAAAGCAAATAGAAGGCAACCCTGATCCAGTTTCGATAGGGGCCCTCCATTACTGCCGCGAACCAGCTTTTTCTGCGTACCTCGCTAGAGGGTTCATTATTACTCTGGGGCTCCTGATGTTGGGGTCGCACTGGTCCTAGCCATCGACGCAAAAAGCTTTCCTTGGGGACATCGGGCTCTAAATCGTGATATATTGCCGATTCAAAATTGACATCTTCTTCGTCCTCCTCGAGAACATTAGCCAGGCCAGAAATTCGTCGAGGGGGCGCTGTGATGTTGCGTCCATGTTTGCTTGGTCGCGTTCTTTGCAGGTCATCTTCGTTAACATCACGTTCCAGATTCCAAGATACAACAGAAGCATTGTCAACAGAGCTGTGGCGGAATGGCGAGCTGCTACCCGGAGGACTGTGAATGCGAGGAGATCCCGCCCGTTGAAGCGGCGATGGATACAGAGGAGAGTTCGACAACTGACGTTGAAATGGGGGTTGAGCGCCCGGACTAGAGTCCGTTGATACCGAATGTGGAATAGGAGGCGAAGGAGTTCGATCTGAATGTTCGTCTGCCGCATTGTGCAGCGACTGCTGAAGCTGAGCCTCGTCTGGTGTTGGCTCACGCTTTGACGGGCGTGCCTGGGGGCCTTGCTTCTTCTTTGTAGCGGCTGTTCGCTTCCGAGCAACCTCAAGATGGGCATCGACCGCTCCAACCGCCTGGTCAATCCCAGCGTTAGGCCGCATCGACATGCGCTTGGGTAATGCTGTGGTGGTAGTAGCGCCATAGTTGAACGATGCTTGGACTGGAACACTGGGCAGAAGAGGCCCTTCCACAAGGTCGAGGATGGACTCAAACTCGGGCGCCGGATGTGGCCGTTGAGGAGTCGCCCCAGCCCGGCGCGTAGCACGTTTAGGCGGCATCTGAGCCTTCAACCTGTAGAATCGATTCTAAAGGTGATGATGATATGTTCTTGTTTTTGTATCTAGTTGAGATATCAGCTTTGGACTGGACAAGTAAAGCAAAATAAACCCAGACAATGGGGCATAGTCAACGTGTAAATTAAAACCTTGGAAATACCAAGCAATTATTGAAACAGAACATCCACACATTCATGTATCAAGACATAATGCGACATGAACTGGAAAATGGTATCACGAGGATGGAACATGTACAAGTATGGTGGACCAAGGTCATTGGGTTCCCACGAGTATTAATCAAGAAGAAAAAAAAAAAAAAGAAAGCGACAATAATTTCAGACTTACTATAGAACAGATTAAAAATGCAGACTCCGAAAGGCCGTGTGTAGATGTCCGAAGCCTGTAGATCGCGACCTCGGAAAGACGCGCAGACGCGACGGGAACGTGACTTGCAGCTACCAGCAGCTTCCGAAGGTGATGCGCCCGAGAGAGAGATCGAAGGGTGTTCGCCTTATTCCAAGGATAGCGCACAATCTTGGTCTGAGTTGCCAGAAATCCGGGGGAGAACTCAGAAGGTTGGGGGTGAAGTGAGTGAAAAGTAGGGGAAAAAAGGGTGGAGGCGCAAGTCTTGAAGATCACTGAAGAATCTCAACTCTCAACTCTCGACTTTTGGAGTATATATGTATAACATCGGACTCTGGAATTTGATGTTCTTTATATCTCTGCTGTTCTTTATAGACTACAGTCTCACTTCCATAGTCTTTGTTGCTTAGGGTCTCTTTGTCAACTATTGCGCCTCGAACTGCTACGATCTTGCTATTTTTGTTTCATCCTACTCCCCTGTCTGAAGGACTTTGTTCAATGTATACAGAATAACCAACGTGGTCCTGCTCCTGATTCGTCCAATCGCTACTAAGACATAGATTGAATAATATACAACGGTCGCAAAAGGGCTGAGGTGAAAGCAAGATGTGAACCTCCCCCATACCCCCAAAGTATGCACCTCCTAAAAGAAAGATCTTACATGTCTAACACGTCCAGGCAGCCATGGTACCGTCTTTACGTCCCTCAACAAGGTATCCGTCCTTAAGACGAACCCGCTCAACTGTCGCAGGGAATGGCCCGTCATCGTCAAGCCCAACACCTGGACCGCAGTCCCAGTGGTTGCCATCGGCCTTGTCGTAGACCTTAACTACACTCTCTCCGGCAGCGGCCACGATTCGTTTGGCATCGAACATCATGTCAGTAATCGGCTTCTCGTAGGCATAAGCGTCGTAAATAGAGCCCATACGTAGATCCCAAATCTACGAAGAATTAGAAACAATAGTCAAGCGAGTGAGAAAAGAAAATCTGGAGTGCTTACCCGAATACTGCGATCGAGACTACCAGTGACCAGATGCACATCATCAAATTGAAGACACGTGACCGGTCCCGTGTGTCCTACAAGACTCCGGTGGACATGACCACTCCGCAAATCCCAAAGACGGACCATGCCATCCGCTGTACCGCATGCCAGAGCAGCGTCAAAGCACTGCACTGCACCAATAAAGTCGGCTGAAGCATCGGGCATGCGACCCGAAGGTCGCCAGTCAGAGTCTCCCATCATGGATGACGATGCCTGGGCGGACGCCCACAGAACGTCCAAAGTTTGGACACAGCGGCCTTTGACTAAATCCCATTGTCTGAGTGTCTTGTCTGCAGAACCTGAGACAAGGGTGTCACCCTTGAAATGAAGCGCTGTCACCTCATCAACGTGTGCCTCTAGCGAGAATACATTACAGTCTTCAAGGTTGGAGGATGGTGGTACTGGGAAGTTGTGCTCTGAGGCTCCCTCTTCTTGGTCCCGCTCGTGCTTGTTGAGGCGCCCGTCTCGGGTCGCGGGCCGAGCACGGCTCAGGTCCCACAGCTTGACAGAGGCATCCATAGACCCAGTGGCCACGATGTTATCCTCCACTTGTAGGCATCGAACCGAGGCATTGTGTCCCTCCAAGAAACCGGAGCACCGGCCAACATTCATGTCCCAAACTCTCACAGTATCATCTAGTGCAGCGCTGACCATAGTACCAAATGGATAGTCAAAGTCAATGGCTGTGATCATATCGGTATGCGCTTCTATTTCCTTGATCAGAGACCCAGGGGCGAAGTGTTCATGTAGAATTGGCATCGATCGTTTCCCTAAATCTGTTGTCAGTTGTGATTCGCCTACCAGACCGGAGGATTTCATACGATTAGATTTATGTCGTAGACTTTTTGGTGAAGGTGAGGGGATCTTCTCGTAGATCGATTCTGACATGAACGAAGCGTCCATCGCTGTATCTCCTGACGATGCGATAGAACCATCCTGTCCGTCTGACCGCGGCGTCGCAACTGGTGTTTCCTGTGATTCCTCCTCTTCAGGGAAATCTTCCAATTTATTATCGAGATCCGTCACTGTTTCATTTTAATCAGTTTTCTCCCATGATTTCGTTTGCGTCGACATGTTCACCCACGTTCTTGCTCCAATCCCGCTTCGTCCATTTCCAAGCCGGCCAATCGATCGAGAACAATCTTGCGCATTTTGTGCAAGTTGGCGACCTTGTTATCTATTTCATGGATCTCCGCGCTGCACATGTTCTTCCGGATTCCCATCAACTCCAATTTGCGACTCAGCGATTTCCGCTGGTGCTTTAACCCGGCCGGACCAGCAGTCAAGGTGCCGCCTCTCTCAACGTCCTTCAAAAGCTTCCCCTTGGAGTTACGTCTTCGGTGTCGCTTCTTCTCGTGCTCTTCTTCGGGAACGGAGGCCTGGAAGCCTTGGAAAAGGGAGTAGGAGCTGTTGTCGTCGGGAATGTTGGCGAGAAGATCATCCGGGAGGGATGAAAGGGCACGCGACTGGATCTCAGTGGTCGAAAGCTTTGAGCGGACAAGGTCGGTTGGTGTTGTCTGCGTTAGAGAGAACACCTTGCGCTGCGTGGCCGGCCGCCGGAGCTCGCGGTGGATGTCGGTCATAGCATCGTGCAAGTGGGTGCTGTTCTGTTCGCCCGGTCCCATCAGGTGTCCTGCGGTCGTTGTGACTTTTCGTCCGAATGCTTCAAGGTGACGAGTCTGCAATCACCGCAGATGAAATCCAGTCAGCCTGCAGTTTGGCGGGGGTCGGAGGGTGGGAAAAAGCCTACCGTTAAGCCGGTACCCAGAAGGCCATCGCCCTCGACAATATCTGATAGACCCGACGGTGAGTCGTCGCGGCGCTGGTTCTCCATGAGACGGAGAGTATCTTGGGCTCAACCAAAACCCATGCGATACTAGGAGAGGAAAGTTGGAAGCTTGCGGTAGGTTGAAGTAGGAGACTTGGTGTCCCACGCAGGTTTACCGCGTTCCCCGGGTACTGCCGTATCGTACTTTTACAAGCTGAAACCAGCCCAGATGCTTTTCAATGTTCGCTTTCGACTGTCGGAATGTGTATTTCGATCGATATTTGATCGAAGTGCAAGGTTCTTCAAGTGTGTTGGTTTTAGCTCGATTGTGGTGTTTCTGCATGTGCTTCGGTCGCATATGGTCCAAAGTACCAAATGCACCAGATCATGGGAAGCCAGCTCGTCTTCATTCACCGTTTTTTCTATATTCGTAATTGTTGACCTCTGCATATGAGATCGATGTAGCCTTTCTTACGCAACCTGCATCCTTTCTTTTCCCCGTCTTCTGTCATATATAAAGAGGACGAGCGGAGTGGACTTTGGGTATCCAGAAACAACTTTGCAGTCCCCGCAGACTCTCTCCATTTACACATCACCACATACAAGCCATGGATACCGCTATTGACCTCTCCGATGCCCTCAAGGCATTGGACCTTGCTAATATTCGTTTCCAGTTAATGTGAGCTCTCACTTTTCCCTCAGCTAAAATACTGCCCAACTCTTTCCCCGCCCCCGCCATAACGTTCAATACACTATACACGAAATTACTACATTTCTATTGAACCTCTTACCCCCACCACCACAATGAAAGCTGATAACTGACATTCCAGGCCAGTCGACTGGAAGACACAATTACCTTCCATCTAATCGAACGGGTTCAATTCCCGGTGAACAAGACCGTCTACGCCCCCGGCGGCGTTAAGATTCCCAACAGCGAACTCAGTCTGCTAGACTACCTGCTCCGCGAGCAAGAGCGCATTCAGTCACGAGTACGCCGCTACCAGTCGCCCGACGAGTACCCCTTCTTCCCGGACGTGCTCGAAGAGCCCATCCTGCAACCGCTGGAATACCCGCACATCCTGCACGAGAATGATGTCTGCGTCAACGACGTGATCAAGGAACGGTATATCAGCGAGGTCCTGCCAGCAGTGTGCCCCAAGTTTGGTCGGGAGGACCGTGGCGAGACACAGGAGAACTACGGCTCCGCGGCAACCTGCGATGTTGCTGTTTTGCAGGCGCTGTCGCGTCGCATTCATTTCGGAAAGTTCGTTGCTGAGTCGAAGTTCCAGAAGGATCCTGAGACTTTTGTGCGTTTGATTAAGGCTGAGGATCGGGCGGGTATCGATGCTGCTATTACCAATTCCGCGGTTGAGCTCAAGGTTCTTGAGCGTTTGGGTCTCAAGGCCAAGACTTATGGCACTGATCCTGCTTTGCCTGATGAGAATGGTCCCAAGATTAACATTGATGCTGTCGTTGCTATGTACAAGGTGAGAAGAGACATTTTGGAGTTTGGTTTGGGGGTATGATCGCTGACTTTTGTGCTAATCTAAAAGGAATGTGTCATCCCATTGACCAAGATTGTTGAGGTCGAGTACCTCATGCAGAGACTCAAGGGCACGCAATGGGAATAATACGGATGGTTATGATATGACCAAACCATCGCATGTCAACATTTATGAGCAAGCATTATAAGAATTATGTGGCCGACGCAACACCGTCACTGCCCCGGGGATAGACAGAAAACAGAAGTGCAAACCAAAACAAGCTAGAATTGAATATATTTTTTTGTCGTAAACTGGACATGAGATGCATCAGACTACAAAGTCTTAACATTAACTACGACATATATTGGGCAAGAGCCTTGACCATAGGCTCGAACTTGGCCGCCTCAATCAAAATCAAGCTACCTTTCGTCCGGATACCCAGCTCCTGGAACGCACGCTTGGAGTCTGAGTGACCTTCATCGGACTTATGGGTGTAATCAATAGAGCCAGCACACAGCGCATGGCGCTCGATAACCTCGTCTTCGGGGTGGAAGAAGAAGCGTTCGGCCTGCTCACCACCCTTCTTTTTCTTCTGAGGCCGGGAATCTTCCTGGTCCAGCTTGGACTCGACTTCCTCGTAATTCTTAGAGATAACTAGGTAATGAGAGAAGGTGTAGGGTTCCTTGTCCTCAACAGCCCAGGCAATCTCCTCCTGAAGCATGTTGTACATGGGAGGGACAATCTCGGAGGGCATGTTGATCAGCCGCTCGGTCAGAATGAGACCGATGGGAGGGATCGGGGTTTGAGAAAGGAGCTGGGAAGCGACAGAGAGGGACGGGTTGGAGGCGGATTTGGTCTTGAGGTAGTTGATCAGGTCCTGGACGACAGGTTTGTCCTAGGAGCAGATTGTTAGTACGATGAAGGTACAAAGAGCGGGGAAATTACGAACCTTGTGTTCCTGCAGATTGAGAATTGACAAGACCGCATAGGGGTCCGATTCATGCCCATCAACCTTCACTGTTGATCCCAGTGTTGGCTGAGAGAGAATCAAATCAGCCAGCGCGGACATGTCGAAGATCTGGGCATCGTTGTCGAATAGCTGACGCAAGAGGTTCTTCAGGCCGTGGAAATCGATAGGCTGAGGATCGAACCATTCAAATTCGACATTTACCATGTCCATGTTCTACAGTCGTCATCATTGTTAGCAGTCCGACGGCACACAGTCCGGGGTATAAGTCTAACCTCGTCGGAGTCGGACTCCTCTGGCTTGGTGCCGCCCATGGTAACATCACCAAGTTCTTTCCGCTTAACCATATTGTGATAATTGAGGTGCTTTTTGTCTGAGATTGGGTAGAATTGAAGTTCAAAGGTTGATCTTGGCCCCGCGCTCGGCCGCTTTCGAACTTTTTTCCTTATCAGTTGTTATCGCGGATGTAGGTCATTGTTGGCTGCCCAGGTCCCAGTGGTCATCGATTGATTCGCGTGTACTCTGATGATATGCTATAGTTATATTACGGATGTATTTAGGAGTCTTCAAAAGTCTTGGGAAAAGCCTTGTTAGTCTATGGGTTTCATTGACAAGCTGTCTAAGTGTGCAATAGGTATGTATACCTTCACCGAAAATATATAGACCACATAAATAACATTTGAATACACAACCAAAATCCGAACAATTAGAGCGCTTGAGGCTTCCTAAGAAGATGCAAATATGCATTTAGATACTATGCAATTATAACATATCAAACTCCAAAAACCATTGCTTTTCGAAATCAAGCCTCCAAGTCTAAACGTCATACTCAACCGCTTCAACAGTCGGCACTTTATGAAGCTTAACATCAAAGAACTGAGCGACAAGCTGCACACAATCCCAAATAACCTGGACCTCCTCTCGAGGAACACCAATGCGTCTCGTACCACGAATATGCCAATGGGTTTCCTTGGGCAGGTTCTGACTCATGATACCCGGCAGCACAACAAGTTGTGTATCAAGGTCATCCAAGACTTGACGATCGGACAAAAACAACCCATAAGTAATCTCCTTGGAGAGCCAAGAAAAGTCCTTATGCGCAGCGAACAAATCCAGCGTGCCTGTCGTGTTACGCGCGTACAGCTTCTGCAGCCACCCAGTGCCGCGCTCGTGGTTTGCCTCGTCGCATTGCCATCCCTCGCGGGTGAAGGTGAAATCCTTATCCTCGTCGCGCTCGACCTCGCTAATGGCCAGGATTGCCTCAATGGGCTTACATACTCCGACTATAGGTACGGATTTGACGAGCGCCTCGCGCAGCCGGCGAATCAGGGCTTGCCGGGCGGCTGAGGTCGCATAGTCTGCTTGCTGGGTGAGGTGGAGGTAGAGTTGATCTGCTCGCTCTGGGTCTGGGCTGGCGACTAGTGTGGAAATGGCTAGGATGTACCATTTATCGTTGCCCAGATTGGTGGTCTTGAAGCGGTTCTCTAGCTCGGTGAAAAGTTGGCGGTAGCGGGGCTGGACCTCCGGTGTTGCAGTGGAAAAACTCATGGTTGTTCTTGGCGGTTGGTATGGGAGAAGAATTGAAAAGATCTTGGGCTGTAGCTGTAGCTTGCTGGCTCGGATGGGTAATCGAGAGAACATGGTGTCGTACAATTACAGCGGTCAATGGAGTAAAGTTGGTGATCTCTCTCCATCAATCGTAGTGCACTCCGTACGGCTGAAGTGGGTCGGTGCAGATTAAGGCATTTTGGATGAACTTCCACGAAAACAATAAGAAGAAGTCAATAACTAGGTACTAAGATACCGAAACTAAGTCATTCTATAACGAAAACAACGCAATTCATGGATTAGGTATTACGAAGTTATATAAGTTCTACACGAACGAGTAGTCAACTATAAAGTGGGGACACTAACCAGCCCTGGAGCGGAACCCTAAAGCATCAACAATGTCATCAAGCCTTACTCTCTGCCTTGATTGCAACGTTTTCTTCCAAATCAGAACCCCAAAGAAGGGTCCAGAGCATATACGATCAGAAACGAACAAGAATCTATTATTGCCCCCCCCAAAACCGGACTACGCCCCACTATGATTTCAGTGACTCCAGCGTGACATCACAAGCCATAAGGCAAGTATAAGAGCTTTGGCAAGGAACAACCATTCTCAACGTCTCAACCCTCTCAACCCTCTCAATAAACCCGCCCAAATCCACTCTATATATACAACATGTCAAGCTTGTCAGGCTCCAAATCCACCCTACACACACAGGACAGGGCAAACTTGTCAGGCTCAGGTCATTCCAGTGTCGGAAACCCCAGTATCTATGAGGCAGGTGACCAGCGCAACGTCCCCGTGTCTGATCTCCAAGAGCGCGCCCGTTACGCCGAGGGCATGCCCCATAGCCACTCGAACCTTGATTCCAAGGACGGCCGCTCTATTGCCAACAAGCTTGCCTCCCAGGAGAACAAGCCGGACTCCTCCAAGCACCACACCGAGTATGACGCCGAGGCCGAGTTGAGCAAGCAAGATCCTACCAAGCCCGTAAGTCTCATACAATCTCTGCTCACTAAAAAAGTCTTTGATTAAGACGCACTTGCTAATGTTGGTTTCGATATAGGCTAGGTTGCATGGCAACGCTCCATCTAAGGGTGCTAAGATTGACGCCGAGCTCAAGGCTGAGGATGAGCAACGTCTGCAAGAAAAGGGTATTTAGCACTGAATTTGTTAATGCTGGTTTTGATGTTGCAAAACGAAATACACCCCCACCCCCCTTGATGTCTCCTGATTGGAATTGAATATAGTCGGGGATGGAGGTGTTGGTAGAACATATGTACGATAATAATGATATCTGGTCTAACGTTCTCTTGAATGAGTAACGGGCTACTGAATGAATACCTACATTGAACCTTGGAAGATAAGACAGATGGTGTTGGAAACGTACACATGTGTCGTTTGTATATACTAGTAACTTAACAAATCTTGAAGCAACCTTAGAAGAACCTCCCTACATGTAAGCAGTTATATAACTTGTGACTTTGTGTATCACTTGGAATGGCCACCGTAGGCCAAATGTTTCATGCCACTTCCACTTGCCCGGGGCGCAGAAAGTGGCGTCATATATCATTTACACGTACAAGCGAGAACCTATATAGTAGCAGTCTACACGAAACAGTAAAATGCTGTTCAAATACTGGTATACCAGTGTAAAAAGTAGGAATAAATAACTAGAACATATGTCATGAGATATGTACGAGACCCGATTTCAAGAGCCGAGCTTTTGTACAAGCCTATACAAAGCCAAATCAACAAGCGTCAGATACCTGGGACCGTTCCAACAGTGTGACTGGCGTGTCTAGCCAGAAGGAAATGGCTTGGGTGATCGAAGATCCCCACTGCTAACCAAGATGGTGCTTATCGCCGCAGATACCGAGGCAATGGGGCCATATATCCGGAGTGCATTTGGAATTCAGCCAAACACCGGAATCCCGCTTGGGAGGCGGAGGAGAGGGATGCGGAGGCTGAGCAAACGGAGGAGCGGCCCAAGACACAGAATATGGCTAGCGAGATCTGAGATTAACTATCTAAAGTAAACTTAGGATCATCGTCATGCGGATTAGTAAAGACATGGCCCCAGTATTCCTCGACTGTCTTGCATAGGTCCACTTTGTTCTCCCACGTTCTGAACGCCGTTTCGAGCTCGCAGCTCACCCATTTGATCTCCTCCCAGTAAGCCTTTTCGACATCGTAGCCAAATCGCTTGATAGTATCTGGGGGTGCCATCCAGGCGCGTCCAGCTGAGCCGTCTTCCTTCAAGGTAGGTGTTGTTTCCCATCCCATGCCGAAGATCCGGTCACCGGGGTTGAATTTGGGATAGTTTGCGTGGATGAAGAAAATGTGCGGTGCGGGGGCAATGGCCTCGTCTTTTACACGCCACTTATCCTGCTGGACCAAGGCAAAGTCCTCGCGTGGATCTGACTGTGCCATAGCTGATCCAGACAGCCCATCCGCATTGGCGTGTCCGATGGCTTGCACCCTCTCACTGACAGTGTAGAAAGGTGCACCTACAGCGGAGGCAGCTTGGATAAAGGTTTCCTTGTCTCCCTCGCCAGGCCCTCCTTGACTTAACAAGCGGAAATAATGCGAGGGGCCGTAAAAGTTATAATACGCCGCCAGCAAGAGAGCAAGAGAATGTGTTTTCTTAGAGACTAGGAATGTCCCAGTTTCCGACGACTGTCTAGCAGCCATAGATGGTACTTGTTGTCGTGAAATTCTGTAGTACAACGGAGATGCGGAGGTAGCCCAGAAGTCGGGCCATGTGACAAGACCGTTGGTTTTGAATGGCTCCGAATCCAGTAGTTCCTCAGGCTTGCCAAGAGGGAAGCAGTCGGCATCCATCCAGACAATCTCTTCAAAGGACGAGAAAAGAACTGCGAAGATCTTGAGTTGATAGTGTTCAATGATGTTTTTACCCACCACGTCCGCCAGCACCAGGCACCGCGCATCGAGTTTGGGAAGCACCTCGTTGCAAACCTGTTTCTCATGCTCGGTGGCATCCTTCATGTAGAGTTCAACCGGCAACGTTGACCCCACGCGGCGGAGCATGCGCAGCGATGAGACAAAAACCGGGAGGTACGTAGACCCAGCTGTTGATACCAGGCCTCGCTTGCCTGGGGTGTGAATCGGCTTCAACTCCTTATCCGACTTCTTGACATCCTCGATGAAGGCCGCATGGGATTCTTCCATCTTGTGTACATCTTCCTCGCTCATGTCCGTCAGGTCGGGTCGCGGCTGTTCTTTGGTGGGGTCAAAGTGTAGAGCTGCGACATCGCCGCGCTTTTCCGGGGAAGGACAACTCGGTTTGTGGCGTTCAATTATGGGTCGCAGGACTTTCCAGAAGTCTTTCTGGCGTTGTGTGAGGGGAACCTCGAATGCTGTGTTTGGGACTAAGGGGACGGCGGATGACGCGGTAATCGGGGATCGGTACAAGTAGACAGTGCACACTAGAATCAGAGCGAGCATCGCCAGTATGAGCGCTTTCGCTCTCCCAGTTCGAAAAGCACCCATGATTGCTAGATAGTTCGGAGCAACAGCTCTTTGATTCAGGGGGTTAGGAAGCGGCGCACGGCCACGCCGATCGAATTTCACCAAGTCAAGGAGGAAAGAAAGTTTATATATCGATTCACAGAGCGCGGATGCCGAGTTGTAGAGTTGCGCCGCATTCTCCGAGGGCGGAGAGAAGATTAGCCAACTGGGCTTGGCACGTCAACGCAATAACTAACGTAAGTATTTCCATCTTACATCACTTGGGATCAGCATTGTCTATATTGTATAGTTATTTATATTTACAGGATTAATGTTGGATCATTTGAAGGATTTCAAATGTTCAATCTCGGATATTAGGTATGAAAGACACTGTGAAATGCCACTCCGCACCTGAAAGCCTGAGAGAGGCTTGCTAACCATACGTTATCAGGCCAACTTCAAGGCAAATCTATGAATGGAATTAGAACACATGTGAGACACTTGAGGGATATTTGATTCGAGATCATCGTGGGACCATTTGCCTTTTCGAAAAGGCGCCCCAATCCACCCAGTTCCTCCTAAACGACTAAAGCGCGGATCAGCCTCCACTGGGGAAGATCGCATATCCACCCCCCAACCTTTCTTCGTCATATTATTCCTTCTTTTTCAGTCTGCAGGATTCAGAGAATTGACTGTTTCTATTCAATTTTATTTAAATACCCCATTTCCCCCCAAACCCCTGTCAGAATTGGCCGTTCTCGTGGTATTCGACATTTCCGCCCCCATTACAAATCTTGAACTCCCCCGAAGTGACCTACGCCCCCGTGAACATCTATTACTCCAATCAAACAGGTCCTTCAAGGTCTAAACGGATGGACTCAGTGCGGGCATTGCCCACGCCCGTCCAAGATGGCCTCTGCCTCCGATAAAGCAGATCGTCCCGCGAAAGACCCCGCGCCCAAGGGAAAATCCCGCAAAACCGACCCGAACGCTCCGGTCCGAAAACGCCGCAAGAGAACGGTGGTCAGCGGAGCCCCCGACGACTGCTTCGCCTGCTCCAAGCGAGGAGCGCGGTGTGACCGGCGCCGACCATATTGCTCCCAATGCCTCGACCTAGGCCGCGATTGTTCCGGATACAAGACGACGTTGACATGGGGAGTTGGAGTCGCAAGTCGAGGGAAACTCCGGGGCCAGAAGCTTCCGGTGATGGAGTCGGAAGAGAAATTGACGGGGGATTCTGCGAAATCACAACCAAAGGCCTCAAGCAGCAGCGGCCCGTCTTCTTCACGGGTACCCGCTAATGCTGCGGCCCCGATGCCTCCGTCCACCGGCCCTACAATGACATCGTTTGGTGGCAGCACGCCGAGTGTGAAACTGGAAGATAGTCCGCCCATGATGCCAGCTGCCTTTGAAATGCCTTCAAACATGGCTTGGACCATGGACATGCCAGATCCCCAAACGTGGTCGAGCACGCTTGCCTCCCCGCCTGCGATTTCAGGGCTTCCGTTACCCAGTCGGCCATTGATTCCAAATAATACGAGCCAGAGTATGACCCCGGAGTCGCCATTGCTATATGCTCCCATTCCGAGCCCGACGACTAATTCGGGATCTCTGGTTTCGCCTACTGCAGTCCCGTTCTCATCTTGGGCTGTTAGTCCCCCAGCGTCACAAAACGCGGATGAGGAGGATGTCCAACACGATCCTAATTACCATATGCTTTGGAACGCCGCCCATTCTCCATCACTCTCTCAGCTCCTATTGGCACGATCTGTGGGGCGGACCCCGCGTATTCGTTATCTCATCAGTTACTACGCCGAAGTTATTGCCCCTATGATTGTTGCCTTTGATACCCCGACAAATCCGTTCCGAACTCACGTTATACGCTTGGCGATGGAGAGTGAGGCTCTGCAGGAGGCGATTGCCACGTTGGCTACGAGCAACTTGCGCCAGAGGCGAGAGCACAATCACCTCTCTACGGAACGAACTTTGCCGGCACGTATGTCATCAATGGCTCACCGCGCCCTCACCGACGAAGATTTCCACGATCGATATGGTATCTCAATGGTGGAAGGGTATAGGAGAGAAGAAAATCATCATCGAGGGATGGCTGTCAAGGCTCTAAATGCTGATTTGGCCGACCCTCGTCGCAGATTGTCAGACTCTGTATTGGCAACTTTGTTAATTCTCTGTCTTTTCCACAGCTGTGATACCGGCGTTGCCGGATTCCGTGCACAGTTTGCTGGAGTAACAAGACTACTTGCGATCCGAATGCGCCATTCCCGTGTTATAACGGACGACCTCAAATGGTTCATCCGCATGTTCTCGTGGTTTGATACATTGACGGCAACTACAAATGACCGTGATGTGCAACTCCGTGGAACATGTTTGGAGATCAGCTCCCTAACCGATGGAGAATGGGGGCTGGAGAACTTGGCCGGCTGTGATGGTCGTCTGTTCAAGCTGATTTCTCAGCTGGGACGTTTAAATCTTCTGAGTCAGGACCAAGAGCCCAATCTATCGCGCCCAAGTGACGCTGCTATGTCCACCACGTCACTCCCTCCTAATATGCTGTTCCCAGGATGGGAAACAGTGCCCAACACTGGAATGGGCTCCGCGCCGGAATACGGATTCTCTCTTCCCACGCCGCCGCAAAGCAGTGACTCATGCCGTCGTCCTTCCTCTCCAGAATTCTGGACAGAGTGGTATTCGCTCAGGCAGCGACTCGAATCCTGGCGATTTGATCCACCTGCTCAGGCCGCTTTTCCCTCTCCGCCCTTATCTGCATCTACAATGACCTGGAACTCTACTACCTATGTGACGCCACGGAATTCCTCGTCAGGATACCAAGTGGCACCCGAGAATCTCCAGGACGTCTACCAGATCTCGGAGTGTTTCCGTCATGCTGCCCTTCTCTACTGCGAACGCCTAGCCGAGCCGACCCTTCCATCGTCTCATGGCCGTATCCAGCACCTTGTCCAGCTCGCCATGCACTGCATCATTACCGTAAAATCAGATGTATATCTTCTCTGGCCACTATTCATTGTGGGTTCGGAGTGTGTCCAGGACGATCACCGTTCGATCATCCGCAATCGCTGCGAGGATATCTCCAAGGACTCTGGCTTCATCAACAACCTTTCCTGTCTAGAGCTTCTGGAACGGATCTGGGCTGAAAATTCTGAGGGATCCTCATTCCCAATTTATCCTAGCGGGTTCGGTCCCCCGCCTCCGCTGGCTGGCGGCAGGGCACCATCATCGCAGGCCTTCCGTTGGTCCCGAGTTATGCAGGCCAAGCGGGGCGACGGCGAGTATATGGTTGCATAGACCGTTTAGCTTCTCTCTCTCTCTCTTTTTTTTTTTATTTTTATCTTTGCCCAAGGTATATACTTGTGGTTTCTAGCTTTACAGCATTCTGGTGGGAGGACTCATTGGATTTTTCTTTGTTCGGGGATCAGCGATTCACGTGTTGGGTTTTGACAAACATGATACCATTCATTCTATATACAGCGATATGGCCTTCAGCAAATGCCATCTACGCTGTACATACTGGCTTTTCTTTTTTCTGGGTTTTTTAGGGGTTTAAATAGAATTTCATGCATTCCTGTACATGTACCTACAAAATCAGGATAGTTAACTAACTACCTAAATATAGACCATGTCATATAATCTTGTCCATGGAATGAACCCATGAAACAATGGGTTCACTGCTCGTCCGCCTTAAACAAAAGTTCGTAGTACATACGGAATATAATCCATGTCCAACACCATCAAGGCCCAAAGGCCAAATAGGGGCTGGCCCAAGCCACTTGGAGATAACCACACCGCGAAGGATGCGCAAAAAGTAGAGAGAAAAAAAAAGGCGCAACATGACCACCATCTATGTTGTAACAACCCAACGCAAGCCCCCTGCCCCTATCACAAATCCCATGGCGCAACGACAAAAGTACCAGCCAACACCTCGCCCAAACCTAGACCTATAGGTGCTTACGGAGCATATTCTTTATAGGGCACAGGGCAAGGGCAGCTATGCAAACCCTATATGATCAGCACGCACAATGAAAACCTGAAAAGCTCAATACACAAGCCTGATATGTACAATACAAGTCCGAATTACCCTCGAGGATCTTCCCGACCGCTAGTATCCCAGCCGGGGCCTAGAATACCAATAACAGACACTAAAATGGGTTCAAGGTTTTGTTTTGATTCTCCGCCGGCACAGCCGAGTCCGTGCAAGGGGGTGGCAGATAGATAGGATTCTGTCGGAGATACTCTTCATGTGATATGATTTTATGAATCTTGTCTAGAGCGTGCATGTACATTTAATTAGATATCTAGGGGGCGAGGAGGTAAGTGCATTGCAAGTGTAGGTGAAGGTTGTTATCATTACCAACTCCCCTGGACGGAGTATAATAAATATACTCCGTCCGAAGTAGTACTTCGAGACTTTGTGGGCTTGATATCAAAAAGCAAAATTTACCAATCAAACCCACATTGAAATCCACATTCTACCAGGGCTCTCTGTACGGAGTAATCCACACGGAGAACGGAAGTACACAGTATCCACACGGCAATCTAGGCGTCCACCAACCCCTATATCCAAAACCTGATTGTCTCGCAAGGATGTTCAGCCGTTTAAACCACCGTGCTTTGGAGGGGGTGAATATTACATGATACATTAGCTGTAGGCCATACTAAGCTTACCTATGTACTATGCGAGTCGCATGTCGCACGAGAAGCACGGGATATAAATTAGACAGAGCCAATTATTTCGCTCAGGGGGGGACGGTGTACAAAGATTTGTGTCTGTGTCTGTGTGTGTGTCCCCGTGCGCCTGTTCAAGGTTATGTTCCTACAGCCGAGGGAATATGCGTCCCGGCTTCCAGCCCGTTGGCCCCCCCTGCAGCCTTGTTAGCGGGCTGTGGTTTTTTTTTGGGCTTTAAAACCTTGTTCCAGAAATTCCATGAGTCTTAGGCGAGTTGGCGTTCCGCACTAATCAAACTAAATATTTATATCGATTTATTTTTTTGTTGCTGGCTGAAATCAGCTTGGTTTGGGTGGCGAAGAGAAAATAGGGGAGTGTTGTCGAGTAAGATCTGTTAGACGCCGGATTATCTATGGTGAGCTGAGCAGATACGTCTATATTTCTCTTTTCTTTTTTTTTAATTTGTTACCTGCATGTGAGATCTATCATGCAGATACGATCAAAAAAAACATGTTAGGCGGGTGATTGATTAATTCCATTTTGGAAAAAGAAAAAAGAAAAAAAAAGAAAACAGCCATGTGCAACCCTAGATGATCGGCAGTGCAGGATGGTTTTTTGCTTTCTGTTTGGCTGGTTGGCTAAGACAGGGGGGATTCTCGAAGGGTTGAGTCATTCAAGAAAAAAAACAAAATCCTCGAATCAGGGGTGGACCTGGGATTCTTTTGTGTGGGCAGCAAGGACGCGCTGGAAATTCCATCTTTCATCCCTTTACTTGGTGCGTGAGCATAAATAACATGTTGGTATTGGTGGTATTGGTGGCGGTGCGAAGTTGCGGTGGTCCTGTTCTTTACGTTGAACATACACAGACATGTGCTTTGTTTCATAAGAATAGAGAATAGTTGTATATTGTAGTCGAGGTCGTTGTAATATTAGCGTGTAGTCTATGTTGTATATAGCTCTGCCGGTCATGACGCACACTGCATATCTGATAGTGCTGGTGTCAGACCAGTCCCGAAAAGGCAAACTAGGGCTTGAAATTGTATGCGATCGCAACCATCGCGAGTCGCCTATTGTTCATCGCCCCACGCTGAAACAATGAACTGTCGGCAGCCAAAATGTTAAAAATGGATACATAACAGTTTTGTGATTTATGATGTAGATATAACTTCATTTTACATACGGTTGGAGGTCACTGCCCCTCCATTATGCGGCTTCGATCCTAACGCGTTGTACACAACCGCTGCGCATCCCTCGATTTCATACTCCTTAATACGTTTATCCTATTTTTACTACTGGGAAGACTTTTCAGCCCACTCAAGATATTGATGGTCAGACCTAAGAAGCAAGTTGCGGTCTGTGAATTCTCTATATTTTTGCCCAAAATGGCGGTTGCTGCCCAGCGACGCAGCGGTAAAGCCCATGCATGGCCCGTGATGTCGCCCAAGATGGCAGTGCGAAGTGGATGTGTGTATAAAAGATATACCGATGGGGCTCATTAGTTTCTCTTGCCATGGCAACGTGTTCGTATATGTTACAAGATAGTATTAGAGTATGTAACCTTGAAATATTGTCCGAATTGTCTGGGGGTTTAGTGGAGTCTGAACCACTGGATGAGGCGGGATGGGCCGTCATGAAATCTGGGATGCCGTCGATCCAACCATGGAACTGGCTTTGGTTTGCTGGGGATCGAGCACCGTAAACATCGAGCCGCTGCCTATGGCAAATACATACATTAGAAATTGCTACTAGTGGAATATATATTTTCATATGATCCATATAAAGTACCATTTTGCTGTATATAGTATTCTCCGTGTTGCTGCAACTAATGATGGCGTTCATGCAGATGAACTGTATGAGGCATGGAAAATGTAAGCCTAGTTCTGGAAGTCGAGCACATGGCTTTGCGCTCATCCAACCCAACCATGACACGCCAGCTGATGGAGGGGTGATCTAAATTAGTTCCATTGCTGGACATCTGTAAGGCAGCCAGTAAGATGTCTATGGAATCACACTACGTCTTCAGTGGCGACATCTACGCCTGGTGTTTCTTTTTTGTTTTGTTTTTTACTCAGAGTGAGTCAGTCCACAAGAGCCAGAAAAATCTCGCTATGCAGTTGCCTTGAGACCAGAAAAGTCAAAGACACCGAGGAAAATGCAGTTGGCCGCTGCCCGATTCAACTGAGGGGCTATCAGCCAAGCGGGTTGCCTATATACCTAGGTAGCGTCCAATGGAAACGTCTCCATCTGGACTAGCTTGAGGGGTAGCGACATCAAGACTTGATGGTACTTTGGTTATGGTAGTTTAGGAGGCAAATAGAAAGTACCAGTTTCTACTGGAATGGTGACTACGTATGTTGTAGAGGGTATTTGTAAGGTTAGCACCTGAAGTTGAGTCATAATATGTAAAGGCTGACCTCGAGCGCAAGGTATAAAAACAGATGGAGTATCATCCGAAGGAATACTATATACTCCGTACTAAATTTAAATAAACTGAAATTCAAGAGGAAATGAATAGAATACCTTGAAATTCAACGAATTTCAATACACGTAAGAAAGAATCCAAACGCCACAACCCACAACGCCAACTTACACGCGCCGGTCACTAGCGGATGCACTGATTGGCCTGCGCCAATATCGCCGGCGCTGACATTAGGATCCATCTTCCTTTTCCCTTTCATCGGGTTGAAATTTTTCTCTCTCCACCGATCTCCACTGAATTCAAAGCCATTACATCTTTTGGAGCGGAGGGTCTCTCTGCTCTTTGTTTTCCTCAATCTCCTTTTATCAATAGGAGATATTGGGTCCTAGGATCCCCTAAACGCACTCTCTCTCTTTTCCTCGGATTGACCGAAGAACGTTCAAATGCTCTCTCAGCACATTCAGTTTCAACCCTCCTCTCTTCGATCAGAAACCGTACCACGGTGACGGTCCTACTATCAAAAAAAAAAATCCTATCTGACCTGCAGTTCTAAAGTCGGCGTCGATTTCTGTTTGGGTGCACGATATCCTGTATAATATACTCGGTGTTTTTTTTTTTTTTGTTCTTCTGATTTCATTTAACTGCCTTTTGGATTGTTTGCATTTCCGGCTTGTCGCCTCCCATTTTACATCTATCTGATCGACTTTTCCATATGCTCGTGCGATAATGTATCATTACTCCAGTCCACCGCCCGGGTGGTCCACCTACGACTACACTCAATCACCTCCCACCTCACCTCAATACGCCTACTACGCCTCTCAATTCGCCAACTCCTACGCTTCACCCCGGGGCACCTCGCGACGACACAACCGCAAGGCCAGCTACACGGCCACCAAAGAAACACCCTGGTATTCATCGGGCTACCCTCAAGGGTACTATGAAGCAACCCCAGACTATGGAATTCCATCGCGAAAGCACGATCATGTAAGTGCTTCTTTTGCGGGAAAGCCCAAACACCGATATTCCTCGACCGGTCACCCTGCGGGGATGGCCTCGGCAACGGATACCACCCGTCGCAATCGCAGACTCGACCCATCTTCGTAGATGTGGTCGACGACGCATTCGATGTCCCGCGCACCAACGCCCGCGAGCCCCGTACCGGTCGCCCAGGCCATCCCCCGGCCTCGAACCCCACTCGAGATGGCCCAGGCCAACATCGTCGCACCACCTCGACCTCTTACCGCAAATCAAATCCAGCTGATTCTCACTTTTACTTCACTCAGGCTCCTAACAACGAGGATATCGAAGCGGCCAGACGCTCCCGCACAAGGCGCCAATCCACATCAACGCGCACTCCCAATAAACCAAAACCACCTCCTGCTAGTGCCAAACCACCACCCACCGCCACCGAGGATGACGCCGAGGCCGCAGGGATCCCGGCAGGCTATTCGATCAAAAACTGGGACCCAACCGAGGCACCGATCATCTTGCTTGGTAGTGTGTTTGATGCGAACTCTCTTGGAAAGTGGATCTACGACTGGACCGTCTTTCATCATGGGGCATCGACGCCCATGGCCGACGTCGCGGGCGACTTGTGGCTACTGTTGATCAAGCTGGCGGGCAAAGTAAAGAGGGCCGACGAATGTCTCCCTCGCATCCAAAGCGTGGATGCGCAGGAAGTCGTCGAAGATTTCCTGGAAAGTGGCGAGCGCCTCTGGTCCCGTTTCAAGAAGCTCCTCAAGGGCTGCGAACTTTACATGTGGAAGGCCGCCAAGCGAGAAGGTGGCAAAGGACCCGTATCGATGGGTCGCAATGCAGGTTGTGAATTTGTCGAATCGATTTTCGGTCGCGATCGTGAGCTTGAAAATACAGAGAAGCTCATGAATAGTATTCGTCTTTGGAATATGCGATTCGATGCCAACTGCGAAGACATTCTGCGCCGACCGGCTGCTGCATAGGGTGTTTTTTACACGCTTTTTTTTCCCCTTTCTACTACCGACTGCCAAGGGAGCGATACCTCCCCAAAAGAGACACAGACTTTCCTATTACTGTTTTCCTTATCTACACTTGGAGCATTTGACATTTGTTGAATCGCATTTGAAGCGTGTTGCTTTGGCTTCGGCTGGCTTTGCTCATATTTATTGTCTGTTTTTTTCCTTCGATCCATCGGCATATGTTTTGCCCAAGGTTCGACACAAAAGATCATCGTTTTTGTTTTGTTTTTTTTTTCTGGTGCCGGCGCCTTGCGTTTGATATCGTTTCTTTCACATAGGACGGCGCTCTTTTGATCCATTCTATTCCATTTCTGGCGTCCTTGTTTAATCTTTTCATTTCTGGCCGTCAAGTCCGTTTTGTCTTGCCGTTGAAGTCCGTGTCACTCTGCTTCGATGATACCATCTTGCGATTTCTTATATACATGCTTTGCTTCTTTTTTTTTTCTGCCATCTTTTATTATTTCTTTTGTCACTCGCATTACAACTGCTATTTTTTTCCTATTGCTTTGATTTGATGTTGGGTCGGAGGAACCGGGTTGTATATAGAACCAACACGACCCAAACATCCGATAGACCAACTCTTTAACACTCGTTAATACTTTCTCATTCTTATACTTTACTACCCGAGACCAAATCCAACTGTAATGTAAAATCAAATACTATTTCCACGTAGTTCAAATCCACCAAAAAGAAAAAAAAACCACACTAAATCGATGTGATAGCCCTAGAGCTACCCCTCACCCCCAGCGCCTGCGCCATGCAAGTACCTACATCGTACAGCTGTGGATCACTACATCACTACCCCGCCCCCCGTAGAACCGTAGAAAGTCCATAGAATGACCCGTCGTTGCTCGGTGAGAATTAAATATACATAGCTATTTGTTCGGTTACTGGGTTGTACGCCCTCCAAAGCAGGTACTATCACTCCGATGACGGCTGATGTCACATTTCATATAAGTGTAGGTCCCAGCGTGGGATCAACTTGCGTGTTTTTTTTTTTTTTTCTTTTCTCATGCAGGTGATCCCAGTTGCTATTGGTCTATATTCTCGAAATTCAAACCTGCATGTACGTTGGGGGTACCCGAGGATGTGGCGACCCTATCACAGACGAGGGGCAGGGGTGTTGGGGGGTTGCATGGGTTCTGGATATTTGTCTTGGGTTGCATGGTGATCCTGGGTTTAATGAGTTTGAGGGATTATCTTTTTAACGGTGATGGCTATTAAACATACCTAGGTAGTTATGGTTGGATATTAAGGTTGTTTGATTTGGTAGTTATATGTTGTACGCAGTACATAGGTCGAAGCTTTGGGGGAAGTGATAGCATAGTATATAAGTGACTTAATTAGGTGCTATGAAACATTAACTTAACATATTATAAGCGCACATTTGGTTTATGAATCGAGATTTAGATTTCCTCCCTGACTTGGAGTTATACCGAACTTGTGAGACGTTGGCTCAGAATGTTGAGCCGGAGACAACAGCCGGCCATTTCTGAACATGATGGGGACACTCCTGGGAGACATGAGATGGAAAGCTCACGACTGTCTTGACCTTGAGATAAAATAAGAAGTATATGTAATTGCCCAGGCTAGAGGCCATACGATTAACTACTGTGACCAGCCCTGGGAGTGGATTGCAAGTCCATGTGGTCATGCAACCTTATCGGCCCTGTCAGACCTATTTTGGGGTTTCTTAGAACATGTTTGCCTCGTCCAAAACTTCTCATGTTCAATAACTCCTATACCTTTGTAGTCTTTGTAGTTCAGATGTTTTTGGATTGTTGACTTTGGAAGAATGACCCATGGATGACGCCTGTGGAACGGTCACGGGACCGCGAGCTGTCCTGATCGTTGACATCATTCGATCTGCGCTGCTTTACCTACAATATAGGTAGTGCCTGAACCCTCGAATTAAGATGATTAGCTGAGATATCATTCGAGTCGATATCATTTAGAGACCTGCTTGAGAGTCAACAACTACCAAGACTCCTACCCATCCTCTACGCTCTCCTGATTAAATCTCACCATACCAAGAACAGATGAGGATGCGACTCTTCGAATCCATCTCCAAACATCTAGCCCTGGAAAGTGAACTGGTGTGCTGGTGTTCCAAGGTCTCTGAAAGCCTTATCCTCAGACCTACAAGGATCATTCGACCTGCGACTGCCCCCGATATGCGCACATGGTCTTGCTGAATGAACGATGCATCATGGATCTACGACAGTTGAGATGCCCGACGAAAATTCCGATAGGTTATCCCTATGGGAATGGATCCGGGGTCAATTTCATATGAGACCGTCTAAAGATGACGAGCCCCAGTCGTGGTGGATTGCATCAACGGCCATCCCGCTAGTTGCCGCTACGACGGGACCACTCGCCAATGTCATGTCAATCGTTGCGCTGGTTATGCCATGGCGAAGCAAAATTCTTTCAAATGAATATAACGCTGCTGGAATCTCCATTCAAGAAGGATATCCAGATCCTCGTTGGTGAGTATATAGCAGGAGGGTGCTACCCTGAATCAGATCTCTCTAACACCACGAATAGGGACACTGTCCTAAACGCCGTTTCACTTTTCTGTGGGATCGTGGGGAATGCGTTTTTACTGTTCAATTTTACTCAGATCGTACGCTATATTATAGCTTTACCCGTGACGATCATTTTGTGGTTCATAGCCGCGGGAATCGTGAGTGACCTCATTGGTTTTGTATGTCCCAGACCTAACGTTTGCTTGTAGCTCTCTGGAATTACAATAGCCACACACATTTATGCCCCTCCGGTAGGCATTGATAGGGTCTACTCGCAGGCTTATTGGAGTGCCGTAATTGCGGCAATCCTCTACTTTGTCTTGAGCATTATCTTGATGATCAACATGCTAGGCTATTTCCTGGGTAAGTACCCGCAACACTTTGCGCTCACCGACGAACAACGGACCTTGATCCTACAAATGACTGCATTGGTGATTTGGCTGTTGATAGGTGCTGCTATGTTTCAGCGAGTGCTCGGGATCTCTTTCGCCGACGCATTGTACTTCTGTGATGTCACCGTACTCACATTAGGGTATGGCAACATAGTTGCCACTAGTGCCGTTGGTAGAGGTTTGATTTGGCCATATGCAGTCATTGGGATTATCATTTTGGGACTGGTGGTGCAAAGCATCTTTAAATTTGCTCGCGAGGTTCACTACGACAACGTCGTTCGGAAACACATTGAACAGAAGCGGCAATCCACTTTCGAGCGATCAATTGCTTTTGACGAGCTCGAATCTTCTCAAGAGAAACGCCTGGCCAGTGGAGAAGTTATCACTCCTCCGGGTCTCACTCGCCAAAAATCCGGGCCTGATCACCATCTGCATCATCGGCCAATTCGCAACACCATCAACGCCATTGCCACGGGTCGCCGACCCAGGATCCTTATTATGCGTGAAGAAAAAGATCGGTTCAACGCTATGCGCCGTATCCAGCATGATACCATGCGTTTCCGTCGCTGGAACAATTTGATCATCAGCATCGTTGCATTTGGAATTGTGTGGTCCTGCGGAGCAGTCGTGTTCTGGAAATTAGAAGCCATGACGTACTTCGAATCACTCTACTTTTGCTTCACCTCCCTGCTAACAATCGGATATGGTGATTTCACACCGGAATCGAACCCAGGGAAACCTTTCTTTGTGGTATGGTCTCTAATCGCCATCCCAATTATGACCATGCTCATCTCCGAGATGAGCGATACAGTTGTCGCCGGCTTCAAGCGCGCCACTGAAGTATTCGCCGATTACCTCGTGCTTCCCCAATCGCGTGTCTACAAGACATGCTTTAGTCGGATTCCCGGCGTCGCCCAGTTCGTCCAGTCTCGCCAAAAGAAAAAGCGACAAGAGCGCGGTTTCCCACTTGAGGGAGCTAATGAATCCGACATCGGGGAAACAGCGGACCCCGAGGGGTCTGGTCAATCAAATATTCAAAGTGAGGACTCCGCCGAGTCTCATCCACACCGATCACTGGAGGAACTTGTCCGCAATCCGACCTCATTCGAGCTTGCCCAGCAACTTGCCTTTGCTATTCGCCGCACCTCAAAACAGGCACGAGAAGGAAAGCGAAAACGATACTCCTACGAAGAATGGGTCGAGTTCACCCGGCTTATTCAGTTCACGGATCCGCGAGCTCGGCCACCATCATTACAGAGAGACCAGCCGGCAAGTGAGGAAGGCACCCCTAGTAATGAAGACGAATATGGACTTATCAATTGGGACTGGATCGGTGAGAATAGTCCCATGCTGGCAAAACAGACAGAGCCTGAGTGGGTTTTGGATCGGTTGTGTGAAAGCTTGATTCGGTATGTGTCAACTCAAGAGGAGAGTCGGGCTGTGAGAGGTGACGCCGATTTGACGGAGGAGCCAACTTTGAGGAAAGAAAGGGATATTGGAATAGAGAATTACCCTTAGCAAGATATGCTTCCAAAAGAGGAAGGTGGGATCCGGTTACATGTTGGTGCCTGAATGTTTATCTCTGCCTGCAGATCATATGACCACACCCATGTATGTACATAGAGAAGGTGTCATACCTTGGTAATAGCTCGCCCTAAAGTACAACTAGTATATAATAGATTCATTCATCCTCTGAGCGATTGACATATATATCCATTCAATAGGCAAAGCCACAGTCATCATCATGTTTAGTGGAGCGGGGGCTGTGTATATCGCTGATGCTCATTTAACCTTACCTACCCAGATACTACACCCTGCTGTCTAAACTCTGACTCTGCCAACCCACATCAAACATACAATAATTCATCTTTCACCAACATCCCCCACCAAACGAAAGATGACAACCAACATTCCCGAGATCCTCCTGCTCTGCATGGACGAACCCTTCCTAAAAGCCTTCAACGATGCCCTCAAAAAGACCTGGCCAGACCACGATTCCACAAAACTAAAGATCACCGCAATACACGAGCGCCTAAACTCCCTCCCAGAAGGAACAACCTTCGACCTAATCGTCTCACCAGCAAACTCCTACGCCCGTCTCGACGGAGCCTTCGACCACGCCATCTCAATGACCTTCAGCCCACAACAAGACTACGACGCTGTGACGCGCGTAGCACAAAAAGTCCTCTACGAGAGATGGCGCGGGTTCGCACCCCCGGGATCATGCACGCTTGTCGAGTTCCCATATGACCTAAAGCAGAATAAATACGGCTGCGGATGGGTGGCTATTTGTCCGACGATGCGGGAGCCTAGAGATGTCCGCTGGGACAAGGAGATTGTCTATGAGTGTATGTGGAGCTTGTTGTGTCAGGTCGAGGGACATAATCGTGCTGCGAAGGGGAAGGGGAAGATTGGGAGGATTCTTATGACGCCCTTGGCTGTTGGGGTTGGGAAAGTTAGTAAAGAGCGTTGGGCGGCGCAGACAGCGCTCGCGCTGAGGCAGTTTGTTGATGCTATTGAGAGGCCTGCGAGGTGGAGCAATTTGGGGTGGGGTGATATTGGGCAAGATACTCGTGATGTTGTGAGGACTTGGGCGCTGTGAATTCAATTGTCGTTGTGGGTGGGTTTTGCTGGCTAAGGTTGCGATGGGCTCAAATCAACGTAATAGTGTCGTCTCTACGACTTTGGTCTACGATAAGCGGCCGATGATGGTCCATTACCGAGCTGTGAAACATAATATGTGGCCGGGTGTGTTGAGAGTAAAGAGTGGCAGGGTAAAGTCTACTTCTATTTGACGAGATGAGAGGATTGTTATATTTAATATACCTGGGTCATTGACAACTTCGCTTCGGTAGAAAGTATGTTGTGTCTAATGAATGTGTTAGGAGAGGTCTACGTGGTAGATGTTGAAGTGCATGGTGCAATGTGAAATGCTTGAAGAGTCGAGAGTTAAGCTAGAGGAGCTAAGAAAGAGACTAAGAGATCTGACAGTCGATCAGACGTAAGAAGGATTTTGACTTGGCCTCGAGAATTACTCTTATTGGCCCATCCTCTCCCCCAAAGTACCCATCAACTTGCACCTCCATCTCCACGCCGTTGGCAAATTTGGCTTTAATTGGCCTCCTATGGGGTGTCCAGCGGCTATGTAAGGAGGGGTGTTTTGGCGGCAGCAGCGACAAATGCTGCTGAAGGACATCGTTGTCTGCACTAAGCCTTCCCTCAATAGTGGTCTTTTCTCCATCTATCTTGCCAATTTGCCAGTTCAAGTGTGCATGCGATGGCAAAAAGCTCGACAGTGGCGCTATCGTGAACGCTCAGGGGGTAGAATACCCCCTTACCCTCCCATTCACTGGAGGCAAGGCTTCGTGGCCAGACAATTCCTGCGACACCACATAGACAGCGGATAGACGCATCACAGAAGTATATGAGTCGCTTCGATACGTTCTGTGGAACAGGTAGCCAACCTGGCCTATTATCTGGCCTGGCTGAGAGATTGTTCTTTAGAAAGCAGTTCTTGGAGTAACGGTTACCCAGAGTGTTATGGAACTTGCAGAAGATGACGTTCTCTTCACGTTCGAAAGGCTGCTTCTTCTGCTGTTTCTGCTTCTTTCTTGTCTTTGAAAGACGAATTATTTGAATCCTTTTTGTTGTAAGACTGGCCTCCAGATTTGTCATGTGATCTTTTCTTGCCATCCTTCTTTCTATCCGAACTGGAATTGTCATTTGGCGATGAAGAATTGAGTGTTGGTGTCGTCAAGTTTACCGATACCATTCCTTTGACCATTTTCTTCTCAGGAACCTCATTTTCTCCGATAGTAGACTTGACATAACTGGTGAATGTTGGAAGCCAGCTACCATCGAAATCCTTTGGGTGAACGGGGTACTCAAAGTTACCACGTTTTGCCTGAATAATACTCAACAAAGACAGAACGTGGGACTTTCCAGTCCCTGCTGCTCCAGTCACGACAAAAAGGCGTCCGGGCATATGACCCAATTTCGTGAAGATTTGACCACCATCCGTGTAGATGCGATCAATGCCAGAGTCTCATCGAAGAAGCACAGGATGCAGCTGGTAAAGAGACCGTCAAAAGCACAATCACCTCTGCCGAAGTCCGTACTCAGGTAAAGGAGCTTGTTGACTTGAACAGATCACTTCGCGAGGAATGCAATCCTGTAGCAACAGGGCTTGCATTCAATTACGGAAAACCCTCGGTGCCGAAACTGCACCTCTTGTGTCTCAAATCACCGCTGTCCGTGAGGCTTTCAAGAAGCTGCGTACTAGAAATGTTCATTGAACCCACGGAATGGGGCTGAGATGAATACGCAGCGGCAAGATGACGGGCACGTAAAACGCTCTTTCACTGTGGATGGAATCTACTCTCCTTCGCACTCCCCATCCTGGAGCCCAGTGGCTTTAGTGGTTGTAAGCGGGACATCATCAGTGTCATCCCCTGGGTGACTTGTGTACCGAGCTCGAGGGGCCCCAGAAAGCTTAGACAGGAACTGGCCGAGCCCGAGTGATTCGAAGTGTACAGGATGAAACGACTTCGTCTCCCATGAGGTTGGGCACCGAGTCTGTAGCCCAACTCGGCATATCCACTTCTTTGGTGTCGCATGCCAACATCTCTGCTTCCTCCGGATTTTCTCTAGGCCTTCTGTAGCCTGCTCTCTTATGGCAGTACCAACACTCCCTCGTGTCTTCCTCAAAGGCCCGTCTCTCCTAGCACGACACGCATGATTGAGGTGTCACTCGTATATATAAATATAGATACCGGCCGCCCTCGCCATGGCCGCGCAAGACTATGCCACAGGCCAGATGGACACTATAGAAAATTGGAGTTAGGTGGAACAATTGCGACAGTGAGAGCTGATCAAGAGTATTGGACTTACATCGTCGAGATCCTAAGCTGAACATACCATACCGCTCGGGTCGTTAAGAGAATCAGAAAGAACTGCCCAGGTGGACTCATGGTGGCGGGTAAGGACTCGATTGATCCCCCCTTTTTTGGCTCCCTGATGCCTCCCAGAGATAATATGAGAAAGGTAGATGCTTGACAAATTGTGTGCCGATGAGAGAAGATATTCCGAAAACGACAATAGCCTGGATCATGCGTTTCAGTCAGACATGGTGGCTCTGTGGTAGATGACCAATAGGTATAGCTATAATAATCTTTCTGTCGGTATCAGAATAGACCGAGTAGGAAGTCCAGTACGTCCCACGCGCCTCGTTGCTCTTTTATCTCGGACGGGCCCTGTCCAGCATTAGCGGGGCCTTCGTAAGCTTCTTAGAAGTGTGGGCGGATCCACGCGCTCCCTTGTCGGATTGGAACTGACTCACGAGGTCATGTATGTGGAAAATTAATAATAAGTGAGGTGGACATGAAGTGAGGTGAGAAAGCAAAGAATCTGACTTCTGTATTCTTCAGTAGCGTATCAGATGCCAAGCTCTCGATTTCATCTCCTTCTCAGCGGACAAGCATCGGGTCATGGTAGGATACTTCTTTGGGGTATCTGGGACATCCACAGTCATTGTTGTTATCACGACTTCGGTTATGACTGTGACTACCCTTGCGACCCGGTACTGCTTGCTTAGCGGTATTTGTTGAGGGATAGAGAGTCTCATGGCTACAGGCAACTGCGGGAGAGAGAGAAGGAAGAATCATGGTCTATTCAATCTACCAGGAGCAGGAATTTATACCCCACCCTCAGAGTAGCAAACAAAACTGCTTAGTCTGCTAACAAACAAGCAGGTAGGCATGGAATAATTTATCAAAGACGAAGGAAGATCAATCCTACAGAGGGACAGAGGTCCAATCCGCCTTAGGCATACAGGTTGCCTCAACACTGGTAGACAAAGGCCAAAAGGCAAACAAGTCCCAGGGCATACATGTTGATAGTAAGAAAAAGCGTCTTACAAGACAAAATGAAAAATTGTCTCCATATATTGAGGAACGTGTAGGTCCTTCACTGTGAATGAACACTGAGACGACTTCTCCTCGGTTTTACGGAAGATAACGACAAAAACATCCGCAAGCCCGGAATACTTGCATTTGCCAAGGTCCTGGCACTCCTTGGAGTGCATCTCAATTGCTGACCTTGGCACTCCTTTTGGCTTACGGTGAACCATACCTAGCGCCTTGGTATCCGGGTGCAGATCATGGCGCGTGGGATTGACCATTGTAAATTTACCCCAGAATCTGAAGAGGATTGCGCTATAAATTTCAGTAATTCCTAAGTGGAGTATGTATTTTTATACCAAAATATATATGGAGATAATGAAGATAATGAAGTTGAAATAAAGAGGTTGAAGAGGGGGAAAGATGCAGCTGTTTTCTTAGTTCAAACAGTGGCTGCATTAAATGCGGGATACTTACTAGGATTGTGCATATTCAATGTAAGACAGGAGTCCTCCTTGCGGAAACCGCCATCACCTGTTCCTTATATATTACAAGCACGTGCGAAAAAAGTGGTTAGGGCTTACATTTTCCAGTTCTTTTGTAACCCTGCACTGCATCCCTTCGTGTAGTGTCGGTCTTGAACCCATTCTGGTCGTCACTTCCATGTTCTAGATTAACTCTTGCATATTGGCATATGCGATTGACTCTCAATGAGCGTAGTAAGGCCTATATCGGCGGTACGGGTTGATAGTCACTTGGAGAATAAACTTAAGAATCTGAGTCTGATAGGTAGCAGATAACTAAAACCTAAAGAGGCCTGCCATATCAATAGGATTGATAATAGAATTGATAATCATTTGCTAAAGAAATTGTTAGAGAAATGGGTTACAAGAAGATACATAGTAGTTAATAGGCCCCCTAAGGGCCCTAACCCCCTGTAAGCCAGAACTATAACCTTGGAATATCAATCCCCTATTTATACATACAACCATAATATCATTCAGGTGTAACTAGTAATACATAGGATACAAATAATAGTTATAATCATGTCCTAGCACTTGTAAAAATGGGTAAATACTATAGAGAAGATATGGTTGGCTGTGTATCTCTTACCTTAATTCAGCCCTATCCGAAACCACTTCAGGACTCTCCACTATTGCCGAGCTTCCAGGCAACACAATTCTAAAGGAGTTTAGTTTTGGGAATATTTAGCAATTTGTAGATATTACGGAGTATATGGTTAAATTTTATAACCCTGAAGAAGATCGAAACAAAAAAAAAAAAAGAGGACCGTGATCGGACCCCAAGAACTCTCTCGGAGGATAAATTAAATTAACTTTTCCCCTCGGAAGTCGCCTCGTGCCGTTCAGGAACGAGAAAATTCTGTACAACTCGGACTTTTCCCTGTGACATCTGAGATCTTTTGATCTATTTATTACCCTGTACAGAGTACATCTTCATATACTCAGACTCTGTCAAAATGGAGAAGCCAGAGGTCCCAGATGTCCCCGATCCCGATCTCGAAGACCCGGATGTCCCCGCCAAACAGTCCAGTGTCGCCCAACGATGGAAGCAGAACCTGTCGCCCTCACACGCAGACTTGGTCTGTCTGCTTCTCACTTTCCTCACCGGTCTATGCGACAGTAGCGCCTATAATGCGTGGTCCTGCTTCCTGGGAATGCAAACAGGTACGAGTCATAGCCGTCGCTCTCCCGCAAAGGGGGCACAAAGCCAAAACAACCAACAAACTTCCCCCCCAAAAACATACAAAACTAACCATCTCTCCTCAAAACACAGGAAACACCATCTTCCTCGGTCTCGGTGCCTCAGGTCAACCCAACAACAAGCCATGGGGCTGGCTCAAGTCCCTCGTCTCGATCGCGTCATTCTTCTTCGGCTCAATGATCTTCTCGATAGCAATGCGCACCGTCGGCTCCCTCCGTCGCGGAACCCTCTTCGTCTCATTCTTCGTGCAAACCATACTCATCATCATCTCCGTCGCCTTACTCGAAGTCGATCTTATCCCCCCACACCTCCTCCGACGCCACCCTAACCGGCGGCGCGCTTTTCCTCGAGTTGATCCCAATCGGTCTGCTGGCTTTCCAGTCCGCCGGTGGAATGACCTGCAGTCGTGCACTGGGCTACAATGAAATCCCGACCGTGGTTTTGACAAGTGTTTACTTTGATATTGCATCGGATCCGAAGATCACCGATAAGCCGAATACGAACGTTAAGCGCAACCGTCGTATCGGTGGTGTTGTGTGTCTGCTGGTCGGTGCTATCGTCGGTGGGTGGCTGAGTCGTAGCAGTGGTGGTATGCAGTCTGCCCTGTGGATGGCTGCTGGTTTGAAGTTTGTTGCTGCCATTGCGTGGTTGTTCTGGAAGGCTGCGCCGGCGAAATAGATTCGTCCAGCTATTCGGTGATGTGGGTTATCTTGTTCTGGTGCTGTAGAGGTTGAGTAGATATTACGATTTACAGTTAGACTTGCATATATATCAATGTTAATAATTTCCGAGGTCGATCCTCAATTAACTATGCAGATCGCTACAAGCGAACATAGATCCTTCGTAGGCATATAGCAAATGGTCCAACTGATCCCATGAATACATTGCATTGAAACCATCTTGATGCAAAGAGTTAAACCAATAAATAATGACAAAGCACTCTAGTTAACTTTTCCCCGCCTTGGAGCTCCTCCTTCCGCTCCTTCAGCTCTTCCACATCCCAGTTACTCCGAATGATCTTCCCCTTTAAAAAGGCTCCCTCTGGACTAGCAGCCTACACCATGAAATGGCCTGGCAAGTCGATGTGATCAAATGGAATGGAGTTTCACTGCCTAGACCCCCCTTGGTAGACTTGGCATACAACATACAACAGTCTACCCGATGTTGTATAAAGATTCACCCACCTCCAACTCATTTTTACTAGCGCAGGATTAGCGTAGTGTTTTATATGGTATTTTACAAATGAATACTACATTAATTTTTTTAAGACAGAGCTCTTTCTTTTTGCACTCTCAACTCTCAACTCAACTCTCAATTTCTTACTAGCTATCTTTCTTACTATCTCAGTATATAGTAACACCCTCCTCAGCATCAATAACTGCCTGGCACCTCAGTGGCATACTATCAATCAGAGCAGACAGGAATTCCTCCGGTACAGCATCCCAGGCCGCCTCCTAAACCACACGGCGAAGCTTCGATAAAGGAAAGTGCTGATCCCCATACTTTCTCTCGATATGGTCCTTCATCCAGTTCCATACCTCCTCAATAGGATCTAAATCAGGTGAAAATACAGGGCACTCCATCATGACAACCCTAAGCTCCTCGAAGAAACCAAGAACCTCTTTGGCAGTATGCCTGGGAGCATTATCTTGCATAACAATTGGATCTTGCTCTCTTCTTAAACGGAAGAAGCCTTCTATCAAAGGAGCAATATATGCAATATAGGATGTTTACCACATATCCAATCCTATTCTTTCTCCTAAAACAGATATGGTCACGTATTGCTTCTTTGATAAGAAGGGAGCAAGATCCGATTGTTATGCACGATAATGCTCCTAGGCATAACTACTAAAGAGACCCTTGGTTTCTTCGAGGAGCTTGGGGTTATCATAATGAAATGGCCTGCCTTTTCACCTAATTTAAACCCTATTAAGGAGGTATGGAACTAGATGAAGGATTATATCGAGAGATCGTGTCGGGATCAGCACTTTCCTTTATCGAAGCTTCGTCGTGAGGCCTAGGATGCTAGCAATACCGGAGGAATTCCTATCTGATCTGATTGATAGTATGCCATTGAGGTACCAGGCAGTTATTGATGCTGAGAGGGTGAATCTGTATACAACATCTCTTAACCGCTAGTTTAAGGGTGGGTGAATCGTTATAGGGTAGACTGTTGTAGCCCGGATGCACATTTTGGGTCTGTACCGCCTCGAAGAATTTCAGCGCCGCAGTCTTGCTCGTCTTGTAACCTGAATAGTTGGGCATTGAGGGCATATGAACGGCGCCGGTGGTGACGTGGATGAGCACGGTGAGATAACCAACTGGATGCGCATTCCGACTCCGTGAGAACATGTCTTTTCGTGACAGGGCGGATAATATCCAACGTATTAAAGTATGCTTCGTTCCAGTACCGACCCTGATGCGCCCGTCCTTGCCACCACTGTGGGTGGAACTGTGAACCCTAGACAGATCCATAGTTGGTGATCAAGAGGGAACTGAATGTATGTGAATTGGTGGTTTTTGATCGGACACTGGGTGAGTTCATATGATATTTATACGGTGGCCCCTCACGCTAACCACTTGCTTCTACCTTTCAACTTCCCCCGTGCAAAATTGAACCCATCCACTTTCCCGCAATGGCGCTCAACCAACTACCTACAGAGATCATATGGATCATCGCCTCATGCTTTTGCAAGCAGGGTGACATTTACGCCTTGATCCGGACCAATCGTCATATACACAGAACCCTTTTAAAGTTTCTATATTGTTTTCACGGCCAGTACAAGCATGGAATCGGGCTCTCTTTCGTCGCTGAACGGAACCTCGTTCCACAAGTTCGAGGTTTGCTAGACGGGCTGAACACTGCCCGCTACTACAATCCATCATCCGACGCAGTGATATTAGCAGCGGAAGACAAGTTACCAAAAATGTGCGAAGACGAAGATGAAATGACAGTTTCATCGACAATGCAATATAAATGGCGACAGACGGACCCTCACTGTCGGGATATTTATACCCATCCTCTTTTGCAACAAGGATACAGCGTCCTGAGTGTCGTGAACATCCAGCACGCTCTGGTAGTAGCAATTCAGGGTGGCCATACCAAAGTCGTGGTCATCTTACTAGACTTCGGTGCACAAGTCAACTTCTACTGCAGGACTCGTGCTGATGACCTAAATCATAAACATAATGTTTACTGGTGGCATCGTCGGGGCGTTGACTACCCGCCCCTCTTTACTGCGACGCGGATAGGGAACCTGGAGTTAGTAAAATTACTACTTCGGCGAGGTGCTGATCCGGAGCTCTATCCCCCTTCCCCTTTGTATCGCGCCGTGAAAGATGATCGACGGGATATCATTCCTGTATTGCTCGAATACGGCGTGGGACCCCAGGAAACAGCATTGAAGCTAGCTGTACTGAATGAGGATGCATCTATGGTGAGGCTTCTCCTTGATCGAGAATTCAATGTCTTACAGTATGGTCATACTGGACTCTTCACTGCTGAGCAGAAGGGCCTTTGGGGTATCGTTGACCTCTTGAAATCTCATGGGGCAACACTGGCTGCACTTTCCCACCATGATAGATGTATTTGGGCACAGGAAGACGGGGATGGTACTGGAAGTCCTTATGGGCAACCGACATGCGTTGGCTGGGGAGATGAGGTGGATGAATCGGACGATGAACCAGATAATTGAATCACAAGTCTCTCGGCTTCTCGCCGAAATTAAAACACTGTGACTACCCGAAGGCCAATTGGGGCGGACTTTAGATGTCCGGGCCCCGCGACTGTGAACTTGGTGGGGTTTCGTATCCTATCAGCCCAAATGCTAAATGCTGTATGTTCAGTATTCAATGACTCGCTGAAATCCAATACGTTATAAGTATATAGCTAGGGATTGTTTCCTGATACGAGACATCGGCGGCTTCCCCAAGGGAAATCCGACCCGGAGATAACCTGGGACTAGAAAATGCCGAGCCGACTCTGTTGGGTTTAAAAGGCCCCCGATCCGCTCAATTACATTAACCAACACTTAAAGCACTTAGCAACATGTCCGCTTCACCAACGATCCTTCTCATCGGCGCTTCGCGTGGCCTCGGCCATGCCATGGCAGCAGAATTCCTAGAGAGGGGATGGAAGGTCGTTGGCACGGTCCGCGGGGGGTCACGAACATTACTACACGACCTAGCAGACAAATACACTGGCCGGGTTGATATTGAGACGTTGGACATTTGCGAACCCGATCAAATCAAGGCGCTCGACAATCGCTTATCAGTATCGGGCAAGACATTCGACGCCCTGTTTGTGAACGCCGGAACAACAAATCGTGACCCAACCCAAAACATTGGCGATGTATCAACGGAAGATTTCATCCATGTCATGGTCACAAATTCGCTCAGCCCGATGCGTGTCGTTGAAACCCTGGCACATCATGTGACCCCAAAGGGTCTTATCGGGGTGATGTCATCGGGACAGGGAAGCATAAGCAACAATGAAACGGGTCTGCGAGAGGTATATCGGGGTACTAAAGCTGCGCTGAACATGTTCATGCGAAGCTTTGCAGCTCGTCAGGATCCGTCGCGTCCAATGGTGGTGATGGCTCCTGGATGGGTCAAAACTGAGTTGGGAGGTCCCGATGCTCGGCTGACTATCGAAGAAAGCATTCCCAGCTTAGTGAATGTACTTGTTTCAAAGCAAGAACGACCCGGACTTGAATACCTTGATTATCTTGGTCGAACTGTGCCTTGGTGAATGCTTTCCCCAAAATCACTCGGAGTTTTACCGATATCCCCCAGTCTTGCCAACACACCGACACTTACATGGACAACGTTGTTTCTTTACGCACTTTATCACGAACCTTGCGCATATTCTATGGAAATAGGACGATATATGTACATCTCATATGTTACGAGTTCAATCTTAGTCTTCTCCGGATATGGAGTAGGAAATCCTGCGGGGTCGGGTTTAGATGGGGATTGCCATCTTCGGGCACATATGTTGAGGATATACCAATGTTCTTGGGAAGTAGGTCTAGATGAGGACATTACGGCGTCCCATTGATTTTCAAGGTAAATGCATAAAATCCACATCTAATGGGCACTTAGTGTACATCGGTCATTATACACGTGACGGGGTGATTAGCCTGAGCATGTACGTATTGTTAACTAGTCACCGACAGCCTCAAGGGATTCCAGTACTAATAAAATGATATCTGCTATTAAGTAACCCTTTTGTGGATTATCTCCATCGGCGATCTAGATCATAAAGAAGTGATATGTCGGCGTCATATATACTCGGTAATTCACTTTCACCTGCACATGACCGGATTGCAGGCCTGTGATACATCCCAACCAGGGTAGTTACTAGGCCAGTAGAATCAATGCATTTCGGTTGCCACCAGACAGATGGTTGAAGAAGGTACTATCCGTGGGGCACCGAAATCATAACAAAACACAACTCTGTGGCAAAAGTGTTATGATAGCATATCCAAACATCCAGCATCCATGAATTACCTCAGAACAACCACGGCCCACAATCAGCCTCAATTGACTGACCTATAGTAAGTCAGATCTCAGAACATAATAGAATCAGTGGCACAAATAGATGCATGTAAAATGGCAAGTGCGGAGAAGGACCCAAAGTGGTGGTGAATGTCATCGTCATGGTCTAGTCATTGCCACCACCTTCGATAAACGCATAAATATGAACTGCTTTCTCCAGATATTAGAGGAAGTATGAAACAAATTTGATGAACACTACATATAATACTCTAATAATCACAAACAACTCTTGGTATGGAGCCCAATTCAACCCTCGGAACTTTTATTGAAAGAGCATCGGGAGTTGACGGTGTGGGGGATGCGATGCTCTATAAGAACTCTCGCTAACATTGTCAAGACATCATGCCTAAGGAGAAAGGTGAAAATAGGGGCCAGGAAGCTGCTACCTGCAGAGCTAAGAGCCACGCTACGCAAAAGGCCTCCCACAGTGAGATGGGCCCCGCGGAACTTTTGAGTGAACACATGGACTCTTCTGGCAACCCAGCACCCGATCCAAGTTGGGGCCCAACAAGAAAGCCTGACGAGGATGCCGATATGTTCCAGGCTATGAATGCGGAGACTTCAGACTTCGATCATGAATGATTTCATATGGAAAGGGGTTGGAGGAGCAAAAACGAAATAATTACATACTAGTATGAGTATGCATTAAAAGAATTTAACTACATTTGAAAGCTATCTATCTATCTACTTCGTACTGCATGTTTCAATATGTTTCAACAACGTACATATATAGGTTTCAGTCAAGAGCCGAGAGAGTACATATGTATGAATATATATAGTGGAGATAGCGGGTCATTGCTATGGCAACAGTTCTCATAGACGGTGACACTTTGATGTTGTAGAACCTTGGGAAATCATCACCTTTTTACTATTATTGTCATATTATCATATTTCCAATTTCAATTTCAATTTCGTTCTTTCTTTTTCTTTATATATTATACACTCTTTCCATCAGATATGCTCTAGACTCTTTTGTGTTTACAATGAACTGAACTTCCCAAGGAAACAACGCGCAACAGTACCGACTCCCCCTCCCTCCCCCCTTCACTCATTCCAGTCTACATATTCCCTCTACAAATCTATTTCTTATTTTCCCCTTCGTCAATCATATTCCATGTAATCAATTTTGCATGTACCACTCTCTTCTTGATCGACGACGCGACGCCGTCACCGCTTGTGTGCAGCTATTAAGCGATAGCAGTAGGGACATGGCGCTCGATCCGCGCTTCTATCACCACATCGGCCATCCGGGCCCAGGCTCGATATCTTCAGCCGCTTCATCCGACATATCAGCCGCCACAGGAATCACCTCCCCCAGTATTATCTCCACCTCCGCTTCCGCCGCCACCCTCCGATCCACAGCTTCCAGTCCTTCCTTCCGCGCGCGAGAGGGGTTTGCAATATCCCGTACCAGAGATGGGATGGCTAGTCCTACACCAGGGGGAAATGTGCGCGTCGTCGTACGAGTACGGAAGTTCTTACCTCGAGGTAGGTGTTGTCTGGGGATGCGGGGAAGCGCGATAACCCCAAAAATGGAGGGCATATTCTGACCTTATCTTGCAGAAATCGATCGCAAGGCAGAATGTTTGATCTCGATGGACCCGCGCACGCAGATGACCTGCCTTCAAGCACCTAAACCCAAACCCGGCGATCAAGGAAAACCAAAGTCACAGGCCCGCGGCAAGATCTTGGAAGATAAATCCTTTACATTCGATAACTCCTTTTGGTCTCACAATGAGGAGGATGAGCATTATGCACACCAGGAGGATGTCTACAACTCTCTCGGCGAGGAGTTCTTGGATCACAACTTCGAAGGATACCACACGTGTATCTTCGCATACGGACAGACGGGTTCGGGAAAGAGTTACACCATGATGGGAACACCGGATCGGCCTGGCTTGATTCCTCGAACTTGCGAGGATTTGTTCCAGCGCATTGAGAACTCGCCTTCTCCCGATATCAGCTACAACGTCCGAGTGTCTTATTTCGAAGTGTACAACGAGCATGTTCGTGATCTTTTGGTCCCGCGAACAGATCCCCCGCACTATCTCCGCATTCGTGAATCGCCGTCAGAAGGTCCATATGTCAAGGATTTGACAGAGGTCACCGCAAGGAATTACACTGAATTGATGAAATTTATGCGAAAGGGCGACGTCTCACGAACTACAGCTAGCACAAAGATGAACGACACTTCGTCCAGATCTCATTCGGTGTTTACCATCACTTTAAAACAGATCCACCACGACTTGTCAACAGATGAAACGACCGAGCGCACTGCTCGGATTCGGTTGGTCGATCTGGCAGGCTCTGAGCGCGCCAAATCTACCGAAGCAACTGGCGCTAGACTTCGTGAGGGTGCAAATATCAACAAGTCTCTGACTACCTTGGGACGTGTCATTGCAGCACTCGCAGATCCTAAGAAAATCCGCGGTCCACGAAAAAGCAAAGAACAAGTACCATACCGCGACTCGATCCTGACATGGCTATTGAAGGACAGCCTCGGCGGTAACTCCAAGACTGCGATGATTGCCTGTATCGCACCTGCGGACTATGAGGAGACACTTTCGACTCTTCGTTATGCGGACCAGGCCAAGAATATTCGGACACGGGCACGAGTCAACCAAGATCAAATGTCGGCAGCTGAGCGTGACCAACAGATTGCGGAGATGACAGAAACAATTCGCACCCTCCAACTCAGCGTGAGCCAAGCAACAGTCAACCAGCGGGCAAGCGAGGCCTCTGATGAAAGGCTTGAAGAGTACCAGCAGAAAGTCGAGAAAATGCAACGCCTCATGGAGGAGAACAAGATGGTCAGTGAATGCAAGATTCGACAGCTGCAAACAGAAAACGACGCTTTGCGCATGCATCTGAAGCTAGCGGTTGAGAGTCTCAAGAACCCAATCCCACCCATTACCTTTGAGCAACGAAAGCCTAGCTTTACATCCCTGCAAGACGAGAACATAACCCCCAATCACGATCCAGAAGACCGCGAGGGCTCTCCTTTGGTATCAGATGTTGAATCTGACATGGATGTTTGGGAAGATGACGATACTATCACCGATGATGTCACCGATGAAGATGCCCAACAGATGCAAAATCACATGCATGAACTTCTTGGTGACCTGAGTGTCTTCAAGAGGAAGCTAGCCACGGACCATGAACGGTTCCGTCCGATCGAGGAGCATACGACTCGGAAGCGCCGTGCCTTAGGAACTATTGCCAGCAATCGTTAATATGTGGATATGACTATTTTTATCTTTTGGGTGTACAGGGATTGAATGGTGTTGGCGGCGATATCTTTGTCTGCTCTTCTGCGATGCCCTTTTGAATGTTTGAAGTCTTTGTTCGGACTTCCTTGTTTGAATTGGGACCAGACTAGTTTTGGCCTATGTACTTATTTCTGTTATAGCGAGCCCCTGCGATGAATAACGAGTCACTTGATGTTATGCATGTTTCAGTGTCAACTACCCTCATTGGGTATCGCGAGTTTCTTTCAGGCAGCACTCTTATATAGAGACCATGTCATTTAATTGGAAGTAGTAAATTATTGTTGTTTGAATCAAGTACTCAACTGAGTAGAAGCTGAGAGTTACTAAACAATTCAACAATTATAGACATTGTTCATTACAACGCGCGATGAACCACAAGTTAGGGCTGCGCCGCTCAGTGGGCCGCTTATGGCATCATTTCTTTTTCCGTGAGTCAACCCTCCCTCCATCTCCCCACCATCTTCGAAGATCCACCCTCACACGAGAATTAATTCACAGACAAGATGGCGGGACCCTCCGATCCAGTGCCCACTGCGCCAGTCTCAACTCCTGCCTCATCGGCACCAGAGCAAGCTCAACCCGCGACCGAAAACACTCCGCAAACTCTCCCGATCCGCGACTCAAAACCCACCCAACCCACCGGAGATGCGCCCGCGTCCACAGATGGCGCCACAGACAAGCCGCTTAGCCCAGCCGAGCTGAAGAAGAAAGCCAAGGCCGATAAGGCTGCCCGACGCATCCGAGAGAAACTTGAGAAAGAAGGAGGTCCCGTCGGCAGTACCACTCCCACTCCTGGTGTCGGAGCCCAGGCTCGTCCACCAACTACACCGAAGAAGGATGCTGCTGGCCCTGGTTCTGCACAGAAGGGACCACGAGCGCCGACCCCGCGCCGTGGCTCAGGTCCCATTGCGCAAACCGGGTCTGTTCTTGTGGAGCAAAAGAAAAAGAAAGATGATAAGAAGGTTGCTGTCTTTGGGCATTTGTACGGACAACAGCGCCGCGTCACTGTCGCTGGTGCCACAAAGGAAGTGCACCCTGCCATCCTAGCTCTGGGTATGCAGTTGATGGACTACACTATCTGCGGCAGCAGTGCGCGCTGTGTCGCCACGTTGATTGCTTTCAAACGAGTATGTTGTTCTCTTGTTTCATGTCAGGAAGACATCACCTTGATTATATATGCTGACAATCCGCTTTCTAAAGGTCATTGAATCTTACACAACCCCTATGGGCACCTCGCTGGCCCGCCACCTGACCACACACCTCTCGTACCAAATCACCTACCTCTCGACCTGTCGACCCCTCTCTATCAGCCAGGGAAATGCTATCCGTGCCTTGAAGCTCTTCATTGCCGGTATTGATCCCTCTACCCCCGAGGCGAGCGCCAAGATTTCACTCTGCGAGTACATCGACAGCTTTATCCGTGAGAAGATTACCGTCGCCGATCAAGTGATTGCAGACAGCGCAGCGCAGAAAGTCCAAGACGGCGACGTGATCGTGACATTTGCCGGTAGCAGCATCGTCAAGCAGACCCTTTTGCTAGCACACAACCAAGGCAAGCGATTCCGCGTCTCAATCATCGACTCACGGCCCCTCTTCGAAGGCAAAAGTCTCGCCCGCGATCTCGCCAAGAGTGGGCTCGACGTCCAATACTCCCTCGTCCACGCCATCACCCACGCCATCAAGGATGCCACTAAGGTTTTCCTCGGCGCCCACGCTATGACCAGTAACGGCGGCTTGTACTCCCGCGTCGGTACCGCCCTTGTCGCCATGTCCGCCAAGGAGCGCGCCAGTGGTGTTGAAATTCCCGTCATTGTTTGCTGTGAGACAATCAAGTTCACCGACCGCGTCGCCCTCGACAGCATTGTCGTTAACGAGATCGCCGACGCCAACGAGCTGCTACCCATGAGCACTCCCGTCTCCCTCGTCGTCCCCGACCCGGCAGATGCATACGTGCCCCCTCCGCCTGAGAATAAGAAGGGTGCAAACCGCACCCCGGCCCCCGAGCCTTCTGTTACCCCTCACAAGAACTCTTCGTCGCCTCTTGCCAACTGGCACAATACTCCCAACTTGCAGTTGCTAAACATCATGTATGATGTTACGCCTGCGGAATACGTCGACATGGTTATTACTGAGATGGGCAGTCTGCCTCCTAGTGCTGTCCCGATTGTCCACCGTATGGTGACAAACCTGTGATGTGTTAACTTCTTCGCTTTTACTCTTCAACATGCTCATGAACCTGGAGCGTATCCAACCTATCCAACCTGTAATCTAAATTAAAAGCAATGAAAGTGGTTCCGACTGCCCAGGCGTCGT